GACTGATTGGCCAAACATATTGGCTCCAAATGTTTATGTTTATTGAGAAAATCTAACCGTCCTTTTAGTTTGACCAGTGCTATATCATTGACTGTTTCGACCGGTTCATAATCATCATGGTACTTAATCTAATTAATTATTTTTTTTAATATATCTAAATATCATTTTTTTAAATAATTTTTTTATACAAAAAAAGTCAATAATCTATACCATATCGACATCTGCTTTTACTACCCGACCATCATCATCATCCCGGTGCTTAAGATCATGAACACCTAATATTACCGTATATTGACGGGTATCGGAGCTCTGGGCTACACAATGGGCGGCCGTCAATATCCATTGATCGTTGATAATAGTGCCGCCGCAAACTGATGCCACCAAACGACCTCCCGGTTCTAGTTTATAGACTCTGGTCAGCAGTACCTGCCAGGGAAACTCGCCGACACTGGCACCGGTACCGCCAACTATCCTTAAACCGGCTGCGTTTTTGGCCACAATCTTGGATTGTCCGCAACCGGTCGCCCGATCCAAGCATATGGTCAAACATATTGTCAATAATAATGAAAATATTATTTTATAAAAATACATTTTTTTAAATTTAATTTAAAGTATATTTCAGTATAATAATTATAATTACTGTTAATATGTTTTAGTTTTATATATATATTTTATTTTGTGAGTATTATGTTTTAATTTATATATAATTTAGTTTATATTTGTTTTAATATTATTATCTAATATTTATTTCATATTATTTTCTATAATTGTATTAATGTTTGTTTATTTTGTCATTAAAATCCTATTTATTTATTTTTTTTTAGATAAAACCAAAAGTTTCTATTATTATTAACTTATTATATATTAATTAGCAGTTATTACAGTATCTAAATGTTAATTAAAATGTTTGATTAATCTAATAGTATTACATATATAGCATACAAATATTTATATGTTATAAAGTTAATGATCGTAAATATATTTATAGTTATATATTTCACTTTGATTTGATAAATAAATAAATAATTTTTATTAGTTTCTAAATATATAATGCAATATATTTATAAATATTGTAAAAATCTTTGATCTCATTTCAAATGTAATGTATTTTACCAATATTTATATATATATATTTTTTTAAAAATACAATCAATAAAACATATATATTTATATTATACAAAATCAATAACTTTATTGAACAAAAAATTAATATTAGAAAAAAAATTACAAAAAAATGTTTCTTAAATATTTTATTAGTTCAAAATTATTAAATAGTTATATTTTTAATGGTTATCAATAGTTTATTTTTTTTAATCCTATTTTTAAATTAAACAAGATCAATTCAAAATTATCATAGTCATTTTTATTATAGTGTATTTAACATAAGCAAAATATGATAAAATAAAATGAAAACATAAGTTACAATAATTAATTACAGTATAGTATAATCATTACATTTAGTATAATTAAATATAGTTTTTTATATTACATTAATTAACAGTTTAAATAAATTAATTATAATTAGTTTGCATATTATATATGTTGTATACAATAATTAATCTATTTTTTTAATTTTAGTTTTTTTTAAATACAGACATTAATAATAATATTTTTGTCATTCATGTAAATTCTTTAGTCACTTATATATTATATAATTATTATTATTTTAAAAGACATATTATTATTATTATTAATACATTTATGTAATAAATGAAAATAATTCTTACATTTTAATTGTCATTATATTTACTAAATTACTAAAAAACATTAAACAGTATTTTTTAAAGAAATATTGACAATTAATCAAATTTAAAAAAACATTCAATATTTAATAATTAATTTTTTTAAAATTAATATTTTGCTAAAAATATTATTTTTAAAATTCAATTAAATTTTATTAATAATTTTCTAAATATGTATTATTTTTTTAAATAATTATAACTAAACAAAAATTTATTTTCAGTATCTTATAAATTGTATTATTATTATTATTATCAATAAAATACACACTATGTTATGATTATTATTAAATAATGTAAAATTAATTATTACTGTAAACATAGTTTGTATGTTTAAAATGTTACTTAATGTTAGATAATAAATGTTATGAATAATTTAAAATGCTAAATTTCAAAAATTTTAAATTAATTAAAAATAAGTATGCTAGCAACAAACAAAAAAAGGTATGGGAGAAAAAATGCATGACACCCCTCCCCCGATCCCCACCCCTACCCTCACCTCCCTGTCCATACACTTAACGACGCCTACGGCTACTACTCTTATATGAATCAAACTCGTAGTACGAACTAACGGGAAAGTTATCATCAATGATATAGTCGGTGCCTTCATCGTCATCATTACCGACGCCGACGCCGTCATCACCGGTCAATAGGTTTGTCTCATTGAACTGGACAGGACTGACATGGGTTTCATTGTCGTTGTTGTGGTAGTTAGTGTTGGTGTTGGTGTTGTTATCAATTGTCATGTTTAGTGATGATAGTATGGTCTCGTCTACCAAAACACTGGCCACTACTACACGGCTTTTGTTGCTATTGTTATCAGTTTCCAGTTGTGATCGTTGTTGTTGTTGACTAGTATTGGCCAACAATTCGCCGACGATTGTCGTATAGATAAAGTCCAAGTTATTGGTATCATCATCATTGACAACATCACTATTGTTGTCGTTGTTGTTGTTGGACAGTTGATCATCACTTTTGGTAATGTTGTTGCTGTTGTTGATGATGGGAACTGGTATAACAACATCATCGACACTGCGTACCAAACTGTTTCCTAACCGGCCGTTATATTGGATGTACTCATAGGGCGATAGAGGAGTTGGTGGTGGCGGCGGCGGCGGCGGCGGCGCCGGCGGTAAACAATTGTTAATATTTATTAACAAAAATATTACAAAAAATATTAGTAATAATAATTTCATAGTTTTTTTTCTTCAAAAAAATCTTATAATTATAATCCACTAAAATAACATTTTTTTTGAATATATTTTTTGAATATATTTTTCAACAAAATAATTATATAATTTTTTTTTTAATTATTTTAGTTCAATCAGTAAAACTTGTCAACTGTTTCAGTTGACTTTTTTATTAAAAAATAAAAATCATACCACTCCTCAAAATAGTTGTCTCCAAAAATTTTATATATATATATATATTGTAACGATTAGATGACACACTGGTGTCTCTGTTTCTTTTACATGACTGTCTCATCTATCTATAAGTGCTCTTTCTCTAAGTGCTATCTAACATCTCTCTCTCTCTCTCTCTCTCTCTCTCTCTCTCTCTCTCTCTCTCTCTCTTTCTCTCTATTTTATGTGTCTCAATGACAGGCATTTATCTTATGGGACAGACATAAATTATCCGGGGCACCAAACCATCCCCAAAATATATATACAGTATATACTCTCTATATATATAAATGTATCGATTTTAGATAATAAACGGGTTTATGTGTACTGCGCGGGATTGATGTCATTAATCTATTATTGCGCTAACAAATAAAAACCAACCAAAAAAATAAATAAAATAATTATTTAAAAGAAAATTTCTATATATATATATAGATACAATAATTACTGTAATAATACAGTAGAAACCTAGACTTATATAATAAGTTATTTGTTTGTTAATAAATTTAATACAAACTAATTTATATTTGGGGAATAAATGCTAGTTATATACGGTATATATAATATATATATATAAATTTGTTTTCTATTATTATTATTATTATTATTAGTTATAGTAGTAGTTGTTGTTGTGATTCACTGTATTATATATTTTTTTTTTATTTAGAGATCACTTTATTATTTATAGTTGTATACTTTTTTTTAGGGCTGTCCTCTCAATAGTGGCATATAATATATAATAGAGTCGATAGTCATAGTAGTAGTAGACATACAACAAGAAAAAAATAGTGATATTAACTCAAAGAGAGATAATTAATGTTTCATTTATTGGTCTTAAGTGTAGATAAAATGTATGATTTTCAAGAGTCAAGTATTTTTTTCGGCTGAACTTTCGATTTTTTGTATGACTTTCCTCTCTCTCTCTCTCTCTCTCTCTCTCTCTCTCTCTCTCTCTCTCTCTCTCTCTCTCTCTTTCTCTCTCTCTTTCTCTCTCTTTCTCTGTTATAATTCAAAAGATAATGTAATTTATAAGTCAAGCAAACATTAAATTATTATTTTTTTTTTTGGTATGTTATGTCTAATATAACATTTTATTTGTTGTCAAAAAATTTTTATTTTGAAGACAATATTTCTAAAGAAGATATATTAGAATATTTAAGTGAACAAAAAAATATATTAAAAAAATAAGTAAATGACTAAAAAATTACATTAATATTATTTAATAAATTATAATAATAATAAAAAAAGATATAATTTTAATATAATAACAATTTAATTATATTAAGAAATATAAATATATATGAAATTTATATTTAATTACTATATTGCATATAATGGATATACGCTATATATATATATATATAAATTATATATATAGTATAATACTGTATAACTTTATTGCATTGTAACAGTGAAATAGATAATTAAATATCAATATTTCTAAAATTTTTATATATATATTAATATACAATATAATTTGTAATATCATAATACATATATTAAAGGGTATAATACTAATAATAATATTAATAAAATGTTTTTATGGTCTAGAAATTTATGGATAAAATATATAACTTTGTTATTAAAATAAATATATTTATAGATAATAAAATATTTTATTTTTTTTGTTGTTGCAAATAATTACTAATAATTGTGCGATATATTGTATGTGTACTAATATTTGTTAATATTATTATTATTATTATTATTATTAGTAGTAGTAGTAGTAGTAGTAGTATTAGTATCAATAAAAATTATAGCCAAATTAAACATTAAATTATTATATATTATTATATGTAACGTATATAATATCATTTGTAAATTACTGGTTAATATTATATATCATTAAAAACATCAATTAGTCATTATTGCTTAGATTAAACGCTGAACCGGTAGTCACAATAATGGGTAGATTGACGTGTAGGTCAATGGCATGGGGTATGTCAAGTGTTACGTGTATGAAATATTTGATAGTAATTATCGGACTTTTGATGCTCAGGGATGCTTCGGCCGGCATACGCAGGTAAATAATTTCATCGTTAGATGACTCGGCGCTCACTAGGGTGCCGACCAGTGGATTGGTTAGCGGTACTTCCAGACCCTTGTGTCGTTCACCACACATATACACTTGTGTCTGATATAATGTAGCCCTGGGTGTAACGTCTACCGATGATTTATTATCGACTGTTACGTGTACTTCGACCAGTTCGCCTGGGTGGAGGTGGAGGACATGGAGTTAAATATACGGTTAGCTATATATTAGAAAAAAATTAAATATATCATAACTTAATTACCAGATAGGAAGCCCTTTTTGGTGACATTGGCAATCAATGTGATCTATAGATATATTATATATATAGACACGGGTTGAATACAATAAAATACATATTCAGAGAGAGAGAGAGAGAGAGAGAGAGAGAGAGAGAGAGAGAGAGAGAGAGAGAAAGATAGGACAGGCCTACTAGCCATAGGTATACAAGCAAAAAAAATATGTGTAGTTATGCTAATAATAATAATCATAATGATAATACATGTCCAGAAGCCAAGTTGATAACCGACAAGTCCTTTTCGCTACTGCCGCCAACAGATAGCTATTTAACACAATAAACAAACAAAAATATAATATATTTTTTTTGTAAAAAAAAAATATTTCATTTATATATATATATAATTATAGTATTTATTTAATTAGAAAAATTATTTATTTTAATAATAATAATAATAATACAAACATTAAGATTGTTGATAATGGGAGCCTCGACGACAATGGGATAACCGATCCGATGAACTTCATTGATGGCCGGTTCGTCTATAACTGCCTCAACAAAATAGGTAACTGAGCCGTGAGTACTCTCGAATGACGACGGAATATCCCTATTAATAATAATTATAATTATACAGTAATTATGATATTATTATTTTTTTTGGTTAAAATTTATTTTTTTTAAAAAGAGTATACAATTACATTACTAATTAATTTAATATCAATAAAAATAATTTGAATAAATTAATGTCCTGTAGTTTATACAGTATACTAGTTTATAATAACTTAATTGTTAATTAATTAAACAAAAAAAAAATTATTTACTTTTCCGGCAATTTAAACATAAACGGTATGACATGATCTCCCGGTGACAGACAATTGTCGGCGTCTATAAAAACATTTATATTGAGTTTTTTTCATTAAAAAAAATAATTAAATTAATAAAACACATAAAGGGTTATTAATACATATAGATTATATACAATTTGTTTATTTAGGGGATTAGTATACCATTTGGTAGTAATTGGGAAATCATTATGTTTTTTTTGTCTAATAATAGGATTAATTATCTCAATTGGGATCACAATCCGAAACAATATAAATAAATATATTGTATATATCGCTCATACACTTTCCTGGTATCTGATAGGTGTAGTCCAATAGTTTTCGTTTATTATGATAGACATGGCCTTCCCGATGATATCGGGTGCCCGGGTTTTCAACCCATCTGCATTCGGCCATACATACCAGTCCGATGGTTACCGCCGACAACATTAGCGGTCCTTTAATTGTTATCTGAAGCAAACCCGATACTTCGTCGGCCCGGCTAAACCGTTTCGTGTCGCCGGCCAACAATATATCCAGCTTAGTTAGATGAATTGGCTCCATGGGTGCTCTCAATATTGAATTATACTGTATATATATATTGCTGAGTTTACTGTAGATATAATAATAATTATATAAATGTATATAATATAATACATAATAGATAATTAATTATTATTATATTATATACAATATTTTTACTTAATTAAACAGTCAAAAAAATAATATTTTAAATCATTAAATTATTTATTATTATTTTATTTGTTATATATTAGGTTATTATGTTAATATATAATCATTTATATTTTAATTAACTAATTTTAATTATTAATAATATAATAAACTACTATTTTTTCTCTACTACTAATATTTATAATTATATTAAATGTTTTCATTATTACCTGAATATTACTTCCAGAATAAATCTATTGTTATTGATATTAGTATATCTTATTTATAGTAAATAACAAAATTAATAGCTAAATCATCAAATGATATTAACAATATTTCGCAAAAAATTTTTAATAAATTTATATTGATATTATAATATTTTTATTATATATATACTCATATTTACAACACAGTAGGTAAAAATGTTGGTTAGATTTCTATGGGAACCAACCCATACATATCGATCGCATTTTTAATTTAGACATACAAATAGTTTTTTGGCAAATAATTTAAAACTATAAATAGATATGACTTTATTTATTTATTTATTTTTTGACTTTGAATTTAATAAAAATTTTATTAGTGATTGTTGTAATTTTTTCGCCTTTTTTTTATTATTTGTTATTCAATTTTGTTTTGTATACTATAGTAATTTTTTTTTCAATTTAAATTAAAAGTGATTTCATTAAACATTAATTTTAAATGTCATTTATTTTTATTTTAAATATATATTTATTTTTAATTTATATAATGTATACATTCAATTTTTAAAATAGTTTTTATATTAACAAATAATAACTTAATATTATAACTAAATTTATATACAGTATTTAAAAGTATACTTTAAAATTAATAAATTATATATATATATATATATTTTAATAAGAAAAATAACTATCTTTCTATAAATTTTGTTACATTATTAACTTGAATATAATAATTTTTAAATATATATATTTAATATATGATTATTTAATTAGTTTGAAAAAATAAACAAAAAATATATAAATTATAATAATTAATAATAATAGTAATTATAATTTATATATATATATATTGATAAGTTATTGAATCATAAAACACATTAACATTACATTAATTATTATAATTATATTTTTAAATATATATATATATTATTATTAGAGATAAACATTGTTTTTCAAAATACTTGAATTTTTTATACAGTACTGTATATCCAATTGAGCCAATAATTAAACTAATAAACTGTTTTTTGAATAATCAATACAATAGGTATTGTTCAAAACTACACCTATACCTCAGCACACCCCTCTCCCCCCCCTAGCACCCACATCACCTAACACTGTATAGCGCCGCGCACCCACACCTAACCATCTAACATTTGATTGTTAGTCAATATGATCGGCAAATTCAGATGCAAATCAATTGTGTGCGGTATATCCAGTGTACAGTGTATGAAATATTTGATGGTAATGTTTGGACATTTGAGCGACATGGGTAGATCGTCGGGTATCGGTATATTGATAACCGAGTCAATAGTTTCGCCAGGTTCAACCTCCGTACCCTGAAACGGGTCGGTCAGTATGGTTTCGACGGTTTTATGTTTTTCGCCGGTCATATAGATTTCTGTACGATAGAGTGTGGCCCGGGGTGTGACCCGAGCGGTCGACTTGTTGTCTATTTGACAAATTAATTCCACTGTTTGACCTTTATATACATATAAGTGATAATTTTTTTTGTTAATTATAAATTAAAAACCCCTAACTAAATGCTAGACAAGCATACCGGGTACGTGTCCTTTATGGCCGATAAATGCGTACATACGGATCACACCGGAGGCCAGATTTACGATTCCCAGCTCTTTCTCGGCTTCGCCGTCGACCGATAGCTTTGTGTGGACAGAGAGAGAGARAGAGAGAGAGAGAGAGAGAGAGAGAGAGAGAGAGAGAGAGGTCAGTCATTAGGGGACAGTAGATTTTCTGCCGACACATTAGAGATAAATTTTCATACATATAGGTTGTCCTTAAACGGCGACTCGACAGCGATGGCCAGTTTTGTACGCAAACTTTCGTCGATTATCGGTTCGCCGATATAGGCCTCGATAAAGTAGTTGATCGATCCGTACGGGCTCTTAAACGTCGACGGGAGACCACTGTTGTGTTTCCAACCACCGGACGGGACGGGTCGGGTAGGGTTTGAGGATAAAACAAATTAAAAATTATTATTACATCTATTTTTTTATTTAAAAAAAACAACATTACATACCTATCCGGTAGTCTAAACATGAATGGTATCTCATTTATGCCGTCATCAAAATATCTGTCACGAACTGATATTTATATATTTATAAAATAAACAAAAAAAATTACACAAAAAAATCAAATTTACATACAATATATAATTATGCTATACTATACTGTAATAGTATAGTTAGTATACTAGTTATATAGATTTAATTTATTATAATAATATTATTTTTTAGTAATAATGGCTAATGAGGGATTAATTTTTTTTTGTTTAAAAATTAATTATTGAAAATATTTATACAAATAATAATTATATAAATATTTTTTTAAATAAAACACATAGTATACGTACATTCATCGGGCAATTGATAATTAAATTCAAGATACCGGCGCTGTACATGAAAACAGTGGCCATCGCTTTTAAGGCCAGGTAGTTCGGTCCATTTGACATCGGCCAAACAGTATAGCTGTATGTTTATAACCGATATCAATAGATTGCCTTTGAGTATGAGTTCCACTTTGCCGGTAATATAGTCGCCCGATTGGTATTTATCTTTACCGTCGGTCAAAACGATATTCATGTTTGTTATGTGATAGCGTGACATAATTATAATAATAATTATTATTATTATTATTGATATTATTATCAGAAAAAAATTATTTATTTATTCTGTTTGTTTGAAAATTGTTATACAATTTTTTAAATGTATTTTGTTTTCTGTCTATTATGTAAGTAAGGTATGATTGACACCAAAATAAAAACAGTGGCAATAATATTGTTGGGTTTAGGTTTGTTTTTTTTGTGGATGGCTTTTAGTATTATTGTTGTTGTTGTTGTTGTGTGATAAACACTGTAAAGTGTTATGTAATGGCAATAGTAGTCTATGATAGAGATATTGATTTTTTTATAATGTTTTTGTTGGTTAAATGATGTGATCCAATGTGATGAAAGAGATAAGAGAGAGAGAGAGAGAGAGAGAGAGAGAGAGAGAGAGAGAGAGAGATCAGTTTGGTTAGCAGCTCATGGATACAAGCAATGAAATGATAGTGTGGGTGATGCTACTGATGCTGCACTGGTAGTATAATACAACTAATGCTATAATATAGTAGTAAATAACTGTATTTATTGTGCGCCTGACCTTCACTGGAAAATTACTTCACTGGATATTGTAGTATATATTATACAATATATATATATATATATATATACTGTATATGAATATTATTTATTTATTGTTTTTATTTTCACTGAACTATGTAAACATATCATACATACACACAGAATATTCTTTAAGGTAAACATTGTTTATATAAAATCTAAATAATTATTTTTTATGATAATAATAATATTTAATGTTATTCAATAAACTGTATAATTTTATTAATATATATTTATTATTATAAAATAATTATTTATTTTAATTAATAGAATATTTGTATTAAACTTTATTTTTATTGTAATTGTAAATTTTGATTTGATTTTAATTAAATAAATATTTTTATTAATAAAAAACTATTTATATTTTAACAAAATTATGCATAAAATATTAATATATATATAGATGACTATAAATATAATTTTAATTATAAGCTTATATACAGTTTATGTGATATCATATTTTTATGACATTTTTGTTCAACATATTTACAAATAAAATTTATAGTGAAAATATGGCTATGTTTTGATATAATAATAAATACTAATAATATTATTATTATTATTATATAACATATCATATGATAATATCGATCGATTAAAATGTGTTAAATTGAAATAGAAATCAATATTAAAATATTTGTAATAATATTAATGTATTATCATTAGTATGTTATATATATATATATATAATTTAAATCAGAAATAGTTAATAGTATTAAATAAAATTTTTGCTATTTTTACTATTTTTGTTTTGTTATTATTAATCTTATTGTTTTACATTTATTTTGATATTATATTAATAGTAAAAATATATTATATATTAATATATATAAAGGACAGTAAGCGACCCCCATTACCGACCCCCGCATAGGAGTGGCTTTAAGTGTGTATTAATATATATAAAAGACAGTACACGACACTCATTAACGACACCCACATAGGAGTAGTTTTGTGTGTATAGCACTAGCACTGTGTGTGTGACTGTGAACTACAGTAAGCTATACAATACATCTACAGTACATGTATTAACATAACACACTTAAACACATTATAAGCATTGATATCATATGTGAGACATAGGCAACACTTTTACAGAGAGTCTTAAATAGTGGCGGCGGAGATGATATTAATTACAATTATATGGTCATCAACACATTTAATTAAAAAGTGACCAAGGGCAATGTTGTAGATGATTTTAAACTAAATAAAATTGTAATTGGTCATTTTTAAATTAATTGTATGATTTGCCAGATAAATGCAGTCCACTATCATTTATAAATTTTTTAAACAGTCGACTGTAAATTATTTAGCATATAATACAATTAATTAAAAAATGACCAATTACAATTTTATTTATTTTAAATTTATCCACAACATTGCTCTTGGTCACTTATTAATTCAACGTATTGTTCACCAGATAATTGTAATTAATAGCATCGCAGATAGTATCTGACACTTTCACAAAGTTTTCATAACATTTCAAAACTAATATTTCAAATTATTTGTCGCTATTGTCTCAATAAATACTATCCTTGAATTAAAATATATTTATAATAAAAATTTTGATTTAAATTAATTAAAACGGGCCGTAATTACGGGCTTTAAAGTCTTGTACAGTATATTATTAGTAACTAGAAAAATCGTTAATTAAAATATATGGTACTACATGTTACTGTACTTATAAAATATTTAAATAAAAATATAGCTAAATATAGTAAAAATTAATAATAATTTTTTAATTTAAATGTACATATAACAAAACAATATTTTTTTAAAAATATTTTATCAAAAAATTTGCATGTATACAGTAAATTAATTTTAATAAAATTGACAATCTTTAACTTTTTATTTTATTTTAATAGCCTTATTTTTTTATACAGTTTATGAAACAATTAAACTTAATATTAAATAAATAAAATAATTTAAAAAATAACCTTGCTCAATAATAATAGTAATATTTAGCTATTTAAATATAGATATCTCAATAATAATTACTATAATAATAATCATTAATAAAAAAAATAAAGCTTTAATTTTTTTAAAAGTCCTTCAAAAAACAATTACAAATTATAAATAGTATTTTAATAGTACAGGTATTATCATTAATAGTAATATTATTAGTCCAGTTTTAATAGTAGTATGAATACCCAATGTTTTAATATTATTGTTGTACATTGTAATCTATTTGGTGTTTGGTTAACAAATATCAACTGTCCTAATGGCGCGCAATTATATTAAAAAAAACACCTAAATTAAACATATTTATACTTACAGTATATACTTTATATAGAGAGAGGGAGCTAACTGTGCTATTATTATATCCCTGAGCGAGCTGTCAGCTAAATACACACATACATAGATACATAGATACTTACACACACATACATACACACACATACATACTTACACACACACATACATACATACACATACATACACACACACATACATACATACATACATACATACATACATACATACATACATACATACATACATACATACATACATACATACATACATACATACATACATACATACATACATACATACATACATACATACATACACACATACATACATACACATACATACACACACATACATACTTACATACACACATATATACATACACACATACATACTTACACACACACATACATACATACACATACATACACACACACACATACATACTTACACATACATACATACATACATACATACATACATACATACATACATACATACATACATACACACACACATACATACATACACACATACACACATACATACATATATACATACACACATACATACATACTTACACACACACACACACACACACAAGTATTGCGTAAAGTATTTATTAATTTAGTTTTGAATTTATATACAGTAGTAGTAGTAGTAGTAGTGGTGGTGGTGTCGACACTATATTGATGTGTCAGCACCAGCAGCACTGGTTAGGGCGCCTAACAATGCAAACACAACATCATACATGTACACAGTATTAATATGTATGTATGTGTCGTGTCATAGACTGTATTATTAATAGTATTTATAATAATAATAATAATAATAATACACACAATCAATGGATATTATTACTTAATAATGTACTAAATATTAATATACAGAGTACAGTAAATGTGTATTAAATATATATATCATATATGATATAAAGTTTATATTATAAACAGTGTTATTATTATTAATATTTTGTGTTAAAAAATTTTATTTTAAATATTTTTTTAAAAACATGTGACTATTTTTATTTTATTTTTTTTTTTTGATTATCACTGTAAGTGTGTGTGTGTGTAATGTGTTTTAAATGTTTAAAGTTGTCCACAATTATTATTATTATTAGTAATAGTTAATAAATAATAAATAATTATAATTAGTTAATAATAATTTTATTATTGTTGGTTACAAATTGATTGAATCAATTGTTTTTTTTATATATATGTAAATTGTTTATAAAAAGTATTACTATATTACTAAACTTGTCATTGATTTTTGTGTTTATTTTTTATTTTTATTTTTTTAATATCATAATTATAATTAAATTTAAAAAAATCAAATCAATATAATCATAATATTAAAAATTTTATTAAATTTATTTTTTTAATAATAATAATAATAAACAATTACTTATATACATTTGATTATACACACACACACAATATTTTTTTAATTAATTATTATAAATAGTAAGTTAATTATTTGATTTTAATTTTATTTTTTTAAAAAAATTAATATTTATGATCTTGATGATATGATATGATACAGGATATATGATTTAAATTTTATTTTATTTTTTTTTAAATAAACATTTAATGTATTGCATAGTAACTAACAATTTTCAACAAATAATAATATGATATTTTACTATTGATTTATAATAATCCTATGATTTATAAATATCATATATATTTTTTTTATTAAAGGAAATAATTGTTTTTATTTAATTTTTTTTTTTTTTTTAAATAATTATAAATATATGATATAATAATTTAACTTTAAAATTATTTTTAACATAGTCAAGTTACCAAATATATTATTAAAATTTATTTAACTTTTAAAACTTATGTGTATATGATATTTAAAACTAAAGCTAATTATTAATAAAAATAATTAAATTGTAACTAAAATGTAAATAAAATTACATTTATTTAGTTTGAATAATTTTCCCAATAAATTATCATCTCTAATAAGTGATAGTATTAATTAATATAAAATGTTTTTTTTAAATATTAATTTTTTTTAAAAAAAATTATGTCATTACATATTAAATGATAATTTTTTTTTGTGTATTTTTTTGGGTAAAATTCACATTATTGACAAAAATTGAGTTCATTTACATTGTTTATTGAATTTAATTTTGTAAATATTTTATTTTTTTGAGTGATATTATTTCATAATTTAGTTTTTAATATTTAATTTAATATTATAAGTTGGGAAAATTGTTGAAATAATAATAATTATTATTATAAATAATTTATATTAAATTTTGAAATAGTTTTTCATATTATTAATATATTTAAAAAGTTTTAAAGTATAAATTGAAAGTAAAATTATTTTCAAAACTATTTTTATTTTTTTAATATTTCACTTTTTAATTTATAAATAACCTGTTTTTCTCTTTTAGTTTTTTTTAATAATTTTAATAACTATTTTATTACCAGATTTTCATTTTACTTTTTTTTTATTTAATAGTTTAAAAGTTAATAATTTAGTTTTAAAATGTTTGTCACTATGTTTTTAGTTTATAATGATTAATAATAATAATAATAGTTTCTAAAATCATTGTTTGAAATTAATTTTTTTTATTAAATGTTAACAAATAATTTCAAAATACACTGTTTATAAAAATAAAATTTAATAATGAGTTGTTGACGTGATTTGTCATAACTAATAATTTTTTTTATAAATTAAATTTTATATTACTATTAATAATAATAATAATAACAATAATAAATGTAATAACAATTACATGACATTTGTTTCTGGCGTGTAATTAGTGTCAAAAAAAAAGTTTACACACTATATGTAAGTTTAAAAATCAATTTTTATTTATTATTATTATTACAGTATTTTATCATTTAGATAATTGAAAGTTTTCGCCAAACATTTAATATTATTAATAATAAATTAGTTGAAAATAATTAATTGAAACAATAAAAATAAATAAAAATGACACCAATTTTATTATTAATATACAGCTTTTGAAGTGACAATTATTTTATTTTATTTTAATCACACAATTTTATAATGTGTTTGTATGCTATGCTATAAAATTAGTTTTTTTTGGATTTACTTTTATTAGATGATAAAAATTAATTAAATATTTATAAATGTCAACTTATTATTAACAAATGGCAATTTTTTTTGTAAACATTTTTCGTTTTATTACTGTTCAAACATTTTATGATATTTTTTTTTATTTTATAATAATATATTTTATTTGTTATAATTATTATAAGTGTGTTTCTATAGTGAAACACTAGTCAATTGTCTAATCATTTAATTTTTTATGTACATTATATAAGTGATACTATTGATAGTATAATTATTTTTACTTTATTATTATATACAGTATGTTTAAACTACAAGTAAAGTACAAATTTTTATTTTTTTTAAACTGATAAATTTTTGGACTTTATATTATAAATATTATAAACCAATTTTTTTTAATTGTATTAGTTTTATATTTTTTTTAACCATAACCTTAACTAAATGATACTTTTTATCTGTGTGTATATAAATATCAATGAAAAATATTTGTTGTATAGTTATTAGTAGTGTTTGCAATGAATTTTTTTTATATATTTAATTTGTTACCAAAAATACAACCAGTATTTAAAACGGTATTTCTCTATTAATAATATGTAACTATTAATAGTATAGTTTTTATTGTATATATACTGTATATATATATATAACTTTTATATAAAACTTTTTTTTGTTGTTTCAATATAACTTGCATTACAAGTGTTGGCGCTATTTATAAAATACAAGTATTTTTTTTTGCTACTTTTTTTTAAATAATAAAAAATATTAAAGTACAGTATAGTATAGTTTAAAAATAATAATAGATTTTTTTGTGTGTGTAGTTTTATTTTCTATGGTAAACCATTTATTTATTTTTTCAAAAAAATTATAATGTTTAATTTCCTGTTAATTTTATGGTTATTAATTTGATATTTATTATAACATTTTAATATTTATTAAATGTTTGTGACATTTATTATTATGAGTAATAATAATTTATTATAACATTGAATTAAGTATTAAATTGATTATTATTAATAATATATATATATACTTATGAAATAATTTTATTTATTTTGCTAAATGTTAAAGTTATTGATAAACTTTAAATTTTTTTTTTTAAATATTAATATTTATTATTAAGCGATCATTAGTCTACACAAAATAACTAATGATTAGTATTTATATATTTAAAAAAAAAAAATATTATTATTAATATTGAATAAACACATATAAACATAAATAAATAAATTAATGAAAATTATTACTGGAAAAAATCAAGTTTTTATACATTTATATTAAAAAAAAAATTTTGTTATCTATTCAGCTCAATGACCTTAATTTATACCTTAACATAAATTTGTATTTATTATTATATATTAAATTTTGATTATTTAGTATATATTTACCGGTAACTATCAGCAATTATCACATGTTTGATAATACTTATAATAATAATAATAATAATGTTTACTAATTATATATTTATTTATTACGTTAATTAATTTAATACAAATTTAATTTTTATATAACGTTTTTTTCTTATTTTGTAAATTATTTTATTTAATTATTATTATAATATATTTAAAAAATATTATTCAAAAACGTTTTTTTCCTTGAAATTATTATTAATTATAATTTTATTATATATATATAATGTTTTTTTGTCTTTAAAAAAATTAGGTAATTATCGCACAAAATGATGACAAACAACAACATCAACAACGATAGGTGTGTCAACCCATTTGTCCATCGGTTCCGGTTTCGGACCAGCGATTACATCAGTGTAATGATTGAAATAAAATAAATTACAATTTTTTTATTATTTAAAAATCTATTGTTTATTTAATTAATTTGATTTTCATACAGATAATCATTGGCACCGTCCTATTGTTGCCCATCCGTATCATATTAATACTATCACTATTTATGTTGGCCTCTGTAATGGCAAAACTAGTAAACGTATTATTGAAACAAATGAATCTCTCAGAGGACAGGGAGGATAAGTGGAGGTTAAATATTTTGTTGTTGTTGTTGTAAAAATAGAAATTTAAATTTTATTTTTTGTATATCTTTTTTTCTGTGTAGGACTTATCTACGGATTCCAGTTGTCTATACATTCAGAGCCGTATTTTTTTTGGCCGGATTTTATCGTTTTAAAATCACTGATAAAGGTTAGCATAATTTTTTTTTCATTTTTTTTATGTTAATAATTTTAAAAATTGTTTATATGATATATATATATATAGGAGGTCCCGAAGCCGAAAAGGAGGCCCCAATTATAGTAATAGCGCCGCACACATCACCATTTGATGTGGTCTGCGGTCTGGCACTTGGCATACCGTCAGTAGTGGCCAGACACGACTCGGTAGACATACCACTATTTGGAGGTATGTTGTCTTACACACACACACACACCGATATTTGATTTCATTACCGATAATTGATATTATTATTATTATTTACCGGTAATTGTTTTTTTTGTGGACAGACATTATAAAGATGGCGAACCCGGTGTTTGTTGAACGGGACTCGCAATCGTCGCGTAGCGATGTCTACGCCAGTGTTTTACAGAAAATCAAATACAATAGGATTGTCTTTTTTCCCGAAGGTATTAATTATCCAACATTTCAACAGTTTTTTTGTGGCCATAATTTCGATATATATATATATAACCGATAATTATATTTTGTTTATTATTATTATTATTATTGATGTGTTTGATTAGGTACTTGCGGTAATCGTCGGGCACTTTGTCAATTTAAAAGCGGTGCCTTCAAACTGGGACTACCTGTTCAGCCGATGATCATGGTCTACGATCAGGGAGCCGGTCCCGACACGTTGAGCTGGACATGGGACGGCACACCCGTTTGGCAGTCCATATGGTTGACACTGTGCCGCTGGACAACTGGTTTCGAGCTCATCAAACTGCCCGTCTATTACCCGTCCGATGAGGAGAAAAACGATCCGGATCTGTTTGCCCATAACGTAACCGCACTGTTGTCCAAACAGTTGGATATGCCGTACCTGAGCTACTCGTACGACGACGTGAAATACCTAAGCTATAAGTTTGTTGTGTTATTTATTATGATTTACTGATTATCTGATTAATTATTTGTTTTAATAATTTTTTTGTTGTTATTAGTGTCTATCGAAGTCCCGTTTGTCTAAAGTTTTTGAAACTTTGCGACAAAATAGCGCAACAAAGAGCACAAAAAAATGCCTTAAAAATTAATAACAATTATCATACAAATTCTGCTACAACGACATCATCGTCGACAACGACAACAACGAAGAAGACAACCATCAGTAATGGTGTCCACAATTCTGTTACAAATAAAAGTATTATTGATTTTATATTTTAATGTTTTTTGTTTCTATTTTACCGGTAATTAAAATATTTCTTTCTTTTTTTTTGTTTTACCAAAAAATAAAATTTAGTTTATAAAAGGCAACTACTTTTAGATACAGTAAACGATATCGTCGGCGATATCATTGAGAAACTAGAGGTTTGTTTAGTTTATAATTAAATTTTAATTAAAATTTTATAATTACAATAAATTTATTTTTTGTTTCTCTCATTATAATAACAACGACACACTAAAATTTTTTACCGGTAGTTAAACTCTGTACAAGACATTGATTCAATTGACGAAATTATTTCATTGTTTGGTTTAGATAAAGGTTTGACTAATTTGATAACTTTTTTTTTAGTTATTTATATTTAATTAAATAAGTTTTTATTTATAATTATTTGTTTTTTTAAAATAACAGATTCCGATATATGTAAATCAATTACACTTAAAGATTTTTATACCTGTCTTACAAAAACAGCACAAAAGCTAAACACAGGACACTTGGCTGTCGTTATTAACTTATGTGATCTCAGGTTTGTTTGTTTTTTGTCGATTGAAATCATTAGTTGAAATCATTAACTAATTGGAAAGATAGGTCACCAAAAAAATAATTGTTTTATTTATTTTTTGTTGATTAGAGAGAAAAAATTTAGTCAACGATTGGCGACGTGTTTCAAAACGCTGTCCGATAACAAACAGATCGATGGCCACGGGTTTCGGTCGCTACTGTGGCTGGCATTCGGTATTGATAAGAGTTTGGCCGATAAACAGTTGGCAACTGATAGTGATAATGAAGATGACATCAGCTATGGTAATGTCTACGGTGTTTAACCGCCAATTGTTTACATAAATTAATAATAATTTATTATTCAATTATTTATTTATTTATTTATTTTCTTCTAAATTACAGATGAATTTTTAAGACAATTGTTTAACAATTTTGGTGATTGTGTTGAACAAAATGCTAGAGTTTTGCTAAAAGAGTTGTCCGAAACTGATTCAGTTATTGATTATCAATCGTCGTCTCATTAAATCAAATTTAAATATATTTTTAAAATATATATATTTATATATTTTTTTAGTCATTTGTTATTAACATATATTTATACTATGAAAATGCCGGTGTTTTTATTATTATTATTATTATTATTATTATTATTATAAGATATGTCTAAAAATATGTTAACGATTTTAAAAATACATACTAACATCAAGTTTATTGTTTATATATAATTATATAAATTTATTAATATAATTAGTATCATCATTATTGTTAAAATAATAGTTTATTTTTTTCATATAATAATAATAATAATAATAATGCATTAGCTGTAATATGCATTTTAGTTTATCTGTATAATTAATTAATAATTTATATATATAATTAGTTTTATAATTTAGTTTTTATAATTAGTATTATTATTATTATTTCATATCAAGTATTAAATTTTTCAAACAAAAATTTGTCATCTAATATATATATATACACTATTATATAATACTTGTATAAACCTATTGTATTAAAATTTTCGATAGTTTTAAATAATTGTTTTTAGATATAAAACAGTTTATATATATATTGATATAAAATATATACACGTATACAGTATATGTATTTTTGAAATACGGATTATTGCATGTATTTTTTTATTGAATTAGAAAAAATGAATTTTTTATATACTGTTGAAATAATAAAATACATTTTATTATAAATATATTTGTTTTTTATATATATTTAAATTATTACTAAATCTTGTATGATATTTACAGTAATGTAGAAAAAAAGTATGAAATATAATCAAAATTATTTTTTATGTAGAAATTGTAGAAATAATTTAAAACTATTGCCTTATAATTACTGTTAGATAAAAGCATTGACTAATAATAATAATAATTATTATTATAAAGTATTATCAATGTTGTATTATTGTAATATATTTAGTAATTTATTTATAATAAGTAATATTATATTAAATTTCATTCAATATTTATTTAATTATATTAGTTTTTAGAAATTATTTTATTTAACACTTAGTTTATCAATTTTAATTTATCAAAAAAATAAAGTTGTCTATAATTATTGTTATCATTATTTTTAGTTTATAAATAGTTAAATTATACCATAAATTTATTATAGTTATAATTACCGATATATATATATATTAATTTATGCAAAATTAAATTATATAATTCAAATATTGAATTTATTTTAATCAAATTTTTTAAAATAAAAAATATTATTAAAAAGTTTCTTATATGATATACAGTTTAAATAAAATAATATATATAATTAAATATTAATTTATTGATTATCATATTATTATTTATCTAATGATATCTCTAGTACTGATGAAATGATGACAAATATAATGTATATAATACTACAGACAATGCCTACTGTTAGACCTAATTTCCATTTTGTTAGTTGAAATGTGGCCAACAATGCAAATATGGACATCAATAGACAAAACGTGGTCAACGGTAATGCTGTCGAATCAATGGGTACGGCAGTCGAGGCCAGATCGATGGTACCCTTTTGAAACATCCAGATAACCGATTTCAATAGCCACGGGACACCCAAACAAAATAATATGTCAAATATGTTGGACCCGATCGAGTTACAGATGGCCATATCGGCCTGACTGGCCTTACGTACTACTAGGACACTGGATATTAGCTCCGGTACGGATGTGCCGGCGGCTAACAGTGTCAGACCCGATACAGTGTCGGGCAAACCAAATGTAAAACCTATAATATAATAATAATTAAAAAAATAATAATTTTTAATAAATTCAAACTTATTTATAAGACTAAATTAAATTTTATAAACAAAAAAAACACTTTTACCAATGATGGTGACCATCCAGACGCACACGTAGGTCAGTGCACCGATCCATACGACAGATATGGTAAATGTTAAGATGAAACACCATTTGGTCGGTTTCGGTAATGTTATCATCAGTAACAGTGTCATCGGCATCAGCATCCACTTGCAGACAACGTTTTTATTGACCCAATTGTCATCGTCCTCATCATCGCCAACATTCATATCGTTGAATACAATGCGCTTCTGGTTATGACTGCCCGCACGTGATCTGGTGGTGATTCTTGAGCTGCTGTTAAACGAGTTCATCATATCTTCCTCATCGTTATTATCATTATAGTCGGCACCACCGCCACCACCGACACTGTCGCGTCCATTGCCTACACTAGTAATACCGTTCCACTCTTTGTGAGCCTTGTCCAACAATGTGGTCCTACTATCCCTAAGCAATGGTGTTTCCTCGTTGAATACGTTATCGTCCGGTCCCAGCAAACGCATGTAATAGGTATTCATATACATGATAACCAAATACATCATAAACAGTGATATTAGTGTCAACGACTCGATCCTATATTATTAGAGAGAGAGAGAGAGATAGATAGATAGATAGATAGATAGATAGATAGATAGATAGATAGAGAGAGAGAGAGAGAGAGAGAGATAGATAGATAGATAGATAGATAGATAGATAGATAGAGAGAGAGAGAGAGAGAGAGAGAGAGAGAGAGAGAGAGAAATTATTAAACTATAAATAATACAAAAATTTCTAATATATATAAAGTTAAACATTAGTATAGCATTTAAATATTATTATATAAATATATTATTATTAGATAAATTATTTGTTTAATCTATTGTCTAATTTATTATTTAATATGTTTATCATATTGTTTAATATGTTTAGTTTAATTTTTTGTTGTTGCATTATTGTTTTAAATTGAATTTTTTTTAATATGAATTACAGTTAAAAAAAATACTGGTATAATTTTTTTCCTCTGTAACTAAAAAAAAATGTTTAAAATTATTAAGTGAGTGAAAAAATAATAAACTTTAATCGGGGACAGTTTAGGTTTATATTAGCTAAACAACAATTAATTAATTAACTATTGTTGTGTCTAGTAGTAGAAATCTTATCAGTTTACCGGTTTTATATAATTATAAATATATTGATATATACAGATTGACAAATTCCCGTCACCCTCCCCTCCCCTATCAACTACCGGTGCTTTTTTTTAATTAATGATAATCTGTACCTTTAAATTAATTATTATTAGTTAGTTTTTTTTTGATAGAAATTTCCAATCACTCAATTAATTAGTTAGTTATTATTAATTATTATTATTTTTTACTATTATATATTGATATATATATATATATATATATATATATATATAAATAAAGTACTAACCAATCTACTTGATTATCTTTAATGCATAATATGAGTGCAATAATTGTCAATATGTAGAAAATCGAGTCCCTGAGTATCGGGAATCGGCTAATTTCGGGAGTTTTCGGACAGTACAGTATGACGGCAAACCCGCACGCGGCCGGTATGACAATCAAATTGAAGACAGCCGTTCCCAGTATAGTACCGACGCCGATGTCGTCCTGCGATACAAATACGCCGATAATACTGGTAAACAGTTCGGGCGCCGACGTGCCAATGGCCATGAATGTGGCACCGGCTATGTCGGCCGGTAAGGCCAGCTCTGTATATAACAATAACAACAATAATAATAATAAAGTTTTATATTATATGTTAAGTTAAATTATTGAATTGTTTTGTTTAATTTAATTTCACTGAAATATACTGTAATTAATTGATTTAAATAATTATTTTTCAATTATGTATTATGACATCAATATTGTTATCATTGAAAGAGTTTTAATAATTATTTATTGTTTGCTTTTTGAAATAAAACTTTAGACTTTTTTTTGTTGATTTGATTTTACGATTATTAATCACTAAATAAATAGTTAATTATTTTTTTTTTAATAAACATATATTCAAATAACACGAAAAATAACAATATTACACCTTGGTTAATTTAATAATATATAATTTTTTTTAAAAATTCTAACTATCAATATTACCTCCCCCGCCCCTCCTAAATTGAAATCTCTTTTTGAAATATTATTAGTTAACCCTAAATAATTAAACTAAATAATTATTTTTTTTTWAAAAAAATTATAGAAAATTTATAGGAAGAAAAAACTTACTTTCGCTAATAATTTCCAGTGACGGTAGAAAATATAGATCGCATACAACTCCCAGTCCCACACAACAGTAGGCCAAGAAAAATATGTGAAATATAATGCCACCATTGTTTCGCAACTATGCATATAACACACATACATATAAGTAATTAATATACAGTATATATATATATATATATATATATATATTCATATGATATGAATAGTCAATTAAAAGTTTTTGTATCTGTCTGTCTGTTTGTGGGGCAATAATTGAAATTTTTTTCCGCATCTAATCTATGGTATAATTATTATTATAGTGAGGGTATTGTTGTTGTTGTTGTTGTTGATTGATGAGGAATGGCATGTATGTAAGGGTATGGTAGGGTAGGATAGGGTAGAAAGTTGATTGATTATGGGGTTTCCTATTATTATTATTATTATTTCCATTACTTATATTACTTGAAAGTTTGTATATAATATAATTTATTTATATAATACTAACCCATTCGGGCATAATATCTGTCGGAAAATTTTCAAACGCGTTTGTCATAGTATTTACGGTAACATTATAGTCATAGTAGTCAACTACTGGGGCTCCGGTAGTATTTTTATTGCCGTATAGATTGATAAGCGGATCGTATGTCGTAATAGTCATATAGGTTCCCGTGATGTTGTTGTTGTTGTTGTTGTCGACCGATGATGTAGTATTGGCCACCAAACTGTTGTTGTTGTTGCCATCATTGTTGTTGACCACCAATCCGACGGCCGCTGCGCTGGCGACTAATCTTCCGTTAGTTTTATTTTGTTTCACATCATTGGTAGTGCCGTTCAATACAATGGCCGCACATGTGAGGCCAAACTTTGCCGCTAATACCGTAACAATTAGACCGAAGATCTGTACCATCACTTGAACAGACAGATTAATGATGAATATTAATAATAATAATACAAAAATTAAAAATCAAACGCCAAATAGGTTTTGACACACAAATTATTAAAACTAATCTAAATATTAGTTTTATTTAATTAAATTTATTATAAAAATTTATTTATCGTTAAAGATTTTTTTTTATTTAAAGATAATTGTCGTACAAAGTTTTTATTAGCTATAAAAATAAAATATTTTTTTTTGTTTAATTTATGATATATTGATACTACAGACACACTATTACAGTAGATTTGTGTGTTTAAAGGGTTAACACATTAAAAAAAATTATATTAGTTTTTTTTATTGCAATTTATGATAATTTTTGTTTAATACTGAATAAAGTTATTTGTTTATAAATTGTTGAATTAAATATATATGTATATATATATCAATCATAGACACATACAGTACATGTCTACTGTATATATATTTATATAAATTATATACCAATAGAAATGAAAAACTAAATATTATATACATATATATATATAAATGTTTTTCAATCACTTGAAAAACAGTTATCAAATAATAATGAGATAATGGATAGAAAGATAATATAATAATAATAATATATATATATATATATATATTCTATAGTGTATTAATTGAAAATCAATTAAGTGAGGTCATAATTTTTATTTTTTTTCACTTAAGTATTATTTTATTTTTGCCATATTTGATATTCACATTGATATATATATATACAATATATTAAATATAATATAAAGTACTGTACAAGTATGCACACGAGTCTATAAATATGTATAATATATATACTGTATATAATTTATATAACCAGGGATAACTACTGTACGTATTAATTAGTTTGCTATCCTATTGACGTTATACACGTATATTATCAAACTTATCTATTAGTAATTATTTTTTTGGCAATAATTTATCTTAATAAAATAAAATTATAATTACGGTATTTATTGTAGTAAAGTTTATAATGGATTTTTCCAAAATATACTTATTTATTACTTAAATATTTAAACAGTATTATTATTATTATTATTATTATTTAATAATAATAACTTATGATTAATAAGTGTATGCAATTGATAATATATTTGTAAAGATATATATATATATATTAATAAATAAGATATGTTTTCAATAAATACAGTACAGGTATATTAAACACATATTATACGGATATAATAAAATTGTCTATTTATTTATTTTAATATAAAATCATTATATTTAATAATAATATTAATAATTGTGGAAATTTTTATAGTTGATATTAAAACTAATTGAAATAAATTTTTTTTTTGAATAAATAAAAAAAACAACAACAAAATATATAACATATTTAAATATCTATAATTTTATCTAATAATTTATTCAGCACAAATTTTTTTTATTTTATTTTATTTATCATTTAATTTTTTATTTTATAGAAAAAATTGTTGATAATTTTTTGTTTACTATATAATGCATAAATAAAACTATTTTTCATTGATTATTTTACCGGTATCATTTTATGAATAATGCATTTTTTTTAAATTAATATTTATCATGCCACAATTATTTCATTCAATAAAATATTTACAATAAATATTTAATTTAATCTGATATAATATTAAATACAAATTTTATTATTTTAAATTTAAAAAAAAATCTTTATAAATTGATAAAATAAATTGATCATCTTTATATTTTATTAAATTAAAACAAAATAAACTAGTCAAAAAATTATTAATTTTTTTCTTACACAATAAACTATTTTACATTTATTATTATTATTATAAATATTAATTTAATATTTAATAATTTTTAAAAAATATCAAAAATTATGCTCAAAAACAATTAATTAAAAAATATATTATAACAAAATCATTAAACAAAAAAATCAATTTAAATTAATATTATTATAGTTTTAAAAAAAATAAATAATTAAATAAATAATTCCCTATTAAAAAAAATAAAATTATAATTATACATTGTGTCTACGTAATATATATATATATATATATATATAGCATATATATTATTAATTATAATTAATTGGATTTAAAACATTTTTTTTTTAAACTACTGTTTAAGCAAACATTTAATATTAAATATACTGTACATTATATACTGTATATTACAGTGTATAATATGTATCGGTATGTAATGTAATACACATGTAATTAATATACATGTATATTGAACTGCAAGAGTACAAACGTTAAGAATATATTGTAGACACTAATGCATTGTTTAGCTATAGTTTTAAGTCAACAGTGAATTTTATTTTTCAGTTTCAAAAATGCAATTCAATATATTATTAATAAATAACATGTGTTTTAATCAAACAAAACAACAAAATTCACAATTCATTCAATGATTTATTGTTTTTGTTTTTTTTGTTAACAATTTAATTGACACTAAATTTTTTGTTTGCCATTCATTTTCATCAGTGAAGTCAAACAACAACAACAACAACGACAACGTAAACGATGGCAACGAGTCGTCTATTGTGTTGTCGATCACCGACTAATGTCTTTACCGTCGCCGCCGCCGCCAAACCAGTTGCTAGACTACCGTCGCGGCTAAACGTACGGACAATAGCATCGTTATCGCCGCCGCCTGCAGTTATCGGTCGCAGTCAATGGTTGGCCAACGGCAGCGGTTGTCGCCATCGATTACTATCGCCGATAGCATCAGCATCAGTTGAAATCATCGGCGGCGGCCGCCAACAATGGACCCGACGACCAATGAGCTATGTAAGTAATATCAATGGGCGCGCATCGGGTAGTAGCCGACGAAAACAAACTGTACGCCTGTTGGCCATCGGTGCGGCCATTGGTGCCGTAATTGTCGGCTTCGAGTCTGTGTACGAGTACTCGAAAGTTAAACTATCGAAATCCCGACGCCAACAGTCTTCGGCCGCCAAACTGCTAGCGGCTGAAGAAGTACCGCAATCGGCGGTCTCCAGACGTGTGAGTATTTATCGTTGACTAAAAACCAAACAGTTGTGTATCCGATATATGATATAACACATCCATCACCTCCTCTTGAATGACACAAATAATTATTAATTATCACTAAAAAAAAATTTGTTTTTAAATACCAATGGACCGCAAGATTCGGGGTCTCTATCACTCTATCAGTCACGCATACCGTCACCGACACTGACCACACTGTCATCACTACCCGTTCCCTTATGTTTTTTTTTTTTGATCGTATATTTGCCGTCAATTGTGTGGCCATATATATGATATATGTGTTGCAATTGTTTTTATTTTTAATTGAAGTTATTTTTGTTTTTTTAAAAATATTTCATTTGATCCAATTGTTTGGCTAATATATATACCGTATATCACATTATATTGTTTTATATAATTGTTTATTATATATAACTGTTTTTTTTAATGTGGACATAATGTGTTTGGCTTTTAATTAGTTATAATTAATAGTAGCTGGGTTGTCTATATATTAAAAAAATCACAACAACAAAAATGTAGCTAGATAAAAAAAATTGTTTATTTTTGACCCTGATTTTACGGTCCGGTAATTCAATTTAATTTAACAACAAACTAATAATAATATTAATGTTGCTTGTTAACAAATTTTTTTATTAATTTTTATAATATTATTGTTTTATTGATTTATTTTATTGTATGACTTGAAAAATTTTTATAACTACTAATATATGTTTTTTTTTGTTTGAAAAAAAATTAATTCAATTAACCGCACGTCTAATCAAATTGGTTTAATATCTACTGTACTACTAATCTGACTGTATTTGTATCTAATGTTTTCTGAACCTATAGTTTGGGTTTGTTTTCAAACAGTATTTAAAAAAAAAAAAAAAATTTGTTTAATATTTTGCACTACTATTTGCTTTTCTTAATTTTTTTTTGTTAAATATATATAAAATTTTATGAAACTTTTTTTTGATTTGATTTTTGTTTATTATTAAAAATTGATTATAATTTTTTGTTTATTTGTTTGCAATTAAATGGTCACCCCAACAACCCTACCCCACCCCCAACCAAACAGGTCGCTGGTCCTACCGATTTGGGAATGACATTCACACTATACCAGTACCAGTCGTGTCCATTCTGTTGCAAAGTTCGGGCATTTCTCGACTATTTCGGTATACCCTATAATGTTGTCGAAGTCAATCCCGTAATGAGACAACAGTTGAAGTTTTCAAAGTACCGAAAAGTACCGATTCTTTTGATTGAACGAAACGGTGAAACCGATGTTTTGGTTAGTTTTTTTTTAAATTTTAGTAGACTTTAATTAATCAATACTTATAATTATTTTTTTTTCGATAGCAAATCAACGACTCGACAACAATTGTGTCGGCACTGGCCTCCTATCTGATCAGTCGTAAGCCAGAATCGGTACATAAGGACTACTCGCTGTCGGCAATAGCCAATTGGTATATCGAACGTAACGTTCCCCGCGACGACGGCACCCGAGGCGACGAAACTATTAACAAATATTTTCTAATGTTCGGCGACATACAAAAACAGACACTCGACCGTATCGAGGGATCGGTAGCCGAGGAACGCAATTGGCGGCTTTGGGCCGACGACCACTTAGTTCATACGCTGTCGCCAAACATCTACCGAACAATGTCCGAATCTCTGCGATCGTTTCGACATTTTTCGCTGATCGGCGACTGGGATAACAATTTCAAACTATGGGAAAAATATTTGTGTCTATATGTCGGTTCCGGTGCCATGTGGTTGATTGCGAAACGTCTGAAAAAGCGCCACCGACTCAGCGACGACGTCAGGACATCGCTGTACGATTCGTGCGCCAAATGGACAAAAGCGGTCGGCAAAGATCGCAAGTTTATGGGCGGCGACAAACCAAATATGGCTGATCTGGTCAGTAGTTTTTGTTGTTGTTCAGCACCGGTAGACATTTGATGTTTGATTTTTTTTTGTTAACAATTTGTTTGTTTGGTTGTTTTTTTTGAAGGCCGTCTACGGTGTGCTCAACTCGATAGAGGGCTGCGACGCTTTCGACGACATGATCGACAAAACCCGAATCGGCAAATGGTATTATTCGGTACAAGAGTTGGTCAAAAACAAGGCCGGCGTCAATGAGATTACATTTATTAGTAGTAGTAGTAGTAATACTAATAATAATAATATTAATAATAAGTCATTATTAACCAATTGATATGATGTACGGTACTGTAATATTATAGTTATTTAGTAACTATATATTAAGTTTGAATGTATTATGAATTTGTTTGTTTTTTAATTGTAAAATACTGTACTCTGTTTTTAAAAAAAAAATATACTTAGACCCAGATAATTATTTTATAAATATATATATATAATAATTATTACAGTAATTATATTTTATTTAAATTAAGTGATTTAACAAAATTGTAATTATTAGTCAAATTATATAATAATAATATTATTATTAAAAAAAATCTATAAACCATTTGTATGTATAACACATACGCGACTGATGTTTTTAAATATAATATTTATATATATATATATACAAACTTAAATGTTAATATTATTAATTGATGATATACCTAAAAATCTACCGGTACCCACAAACATAACTATTTTAAGCTGGTAGCTTTTCTAATACATAGTTGGTCACCTCGAACAGGTAGTAATACTTGTCGATTACCTGTCGTTTTAATTTATCGTTTTGGCAAAACGGGTACAACTTTTGACACGAACCGCACGAATAGCCGTTACCCAATTCGCGACCTTTTTCGATGGCTTCCAACACATAGGTTACATAGTAATCATCGGTCGGATAGGTATCGAAGTAGCTGTTGGCCGCCCGATTGGTCTCATCCTCGCACGTGATCTCGCACATGACACGTGCCGTACATTCGGTCAAATCGTTTTGAAAGCCTTTTTTTGAGAAAAAAATAATAATAAAAACAAATTTATTTATAAATAATTATGTATTAAATACAGTATATTGTTATACAGTATAGAATATTCTTGTATTTAATGACAACAAAATATCTACACAACAAAAAATAAATAAATATACATTCAATAATTGGATTCACAGTAAACACTTAATATACTATAAAATAATTTCCGAGAAAATTGATTATAAAAATAAAAAATAAAATATATGTTAATAAACTGATAAACATTTTAATTGAGTTTACACTAGAATACATGTATATGAATAGGTACTGAAAATATTTAAATAAACAAATATTTTTATATTAAATTATCTTAGAATATATTTTTATAAAATAACAGTAATTATTTTTAACTATTATTAATATTATTGATTTTTTACAAAATTAATTGCAAAATATAATTTACAATATGATAGCAACTGGGAATTTTCATCTATAAAAATATTCAAAAATTTTTAATGTATCATAAATTTATAATTATATATATATCATCATAATGTATTCAAGTGTCTTGTTTATCAGTTTTATTAAATAATAATAATAATAATTTTCAAAAAATAATAATAACAACTAAAACATGAAGTGCTACTTAACGAAACTAAAAATTTTATAATTAGTATAAAATTTAATATATATACTGTATATATACAGTATATTATAATAAAATAATAGTTAATTAATTTTCAACAATTTCTAATTTCAAAACTTGTATTTTGTTATATAAATATTATATATGTATATATAAAGTATATATAAATATTATTGATTATCATACAGTTATAGGTCCACATATCTAAAAACATTTTTATAGACAAACATTAACACAAAACACAACAACACTTACCTATAGTGAGAAGTACCCTAAATATTAGATTTCTGCCGGCTCTCTGTTTCAATGCAGTGGCGCCCAGACTCCTGATTAGGGCATCCTTACGGTGCGGATAGGATCGGATGCGCTCCAGTGTCTCCTCTAACGGTATTTTCAAAGCGGTCGCGTGGCCAGCGTTTATACGTTTGATGGGCACATCGGCATCAGGGTCTAACAGTCCGCGGGTAATGGGACCGGCCGTTGAGCTTAATTGACAATTGATTAGCAGTACAACAACAATCAATGGGACTGTTATTATTAAGTTTGTCAGTCTATGATGGACTTCATTCATGTTATTTAAGTTTTATTTTTTTTTGTTGAGATAATTGATATACACTTTTATTGTTTGGTGAACACAATATCTAACTGTTCATAACTTTTTGTTGTTGTTGTTGTTTGGGATGCTGTGTTGGATTACACACTGCCAGCAAACAAGAGGGTCAGTTGTTTAACACACATATACCCCACCTCACTAATAACCCCTTCCCACACACACACACAAACACATACATACATACACAAAGTCAATAGTAATTAAATTACGAGATTAGGTTTATATAGTTATGAATGACTATCTATGACTTAGTAATTGCACGAAAAAAATTTGTAAAATACTTTTCATTGCATACCAACAACCCCTTTGAATGACTGAATGAATGGATAGTTAGCTTTATTTTTCAGTGAAATGCAATCAAAATAGGGTCTTAGCTTTCAAACTACAGCTAACTCTTAACTAAAAACTATATTTAACTTACTTTTAGAGAGAGAGAGAGAGAGAGAAAAGTGATATCATTAGCAACAAAAAATTATAGTAATATTATATTATTATTACTAATATAACTAAATGTCTATAATTTTTGTTTTATAAGACCAACAAAGCGTTTGTATGTCTCTTATCTATAAGTTTCTCAAAATTTTATCCTTCAATCACAACCAACAACAACAACAAAAAATCCCGTTTGTAAAGCGTTACGTGATTTTTATTGTTATATTATATATACATATGTGATAAATATATATACATATATAATAATAATGTATATATATATAATAAAATTACTACATTTTTATTTATCGTAAAAATAAAGTCAAATATCTCTATTTTTTATTAAAAAAAATGTTAATGGCCTTCAAAACAATTGCCCACAAAATTATTTTTTATGCACCCATTTAGTTCTCTCTCTCTCTCTCTCTCTCTCTCTCTCTCTCTCTCTCTCTCTCTCTCTCTCTCTCTCTCTCTCTCTCTCTGTGTGTGTGTGTGTGTGTGTGTGTGTGTGTGTTTTCTTATGTATAAAATTATTACTAATATTGTTGAGTTGTATATATAAATTTCCAGTAGTAGACTATATAGGTTTCAAATTGTATAGATATTAAGTTATCAAATAAAATGTTGAATAAAAATTAATAATAATAATAATAATAAAATGTTTGTTACGCTAAATATCAAGGATTTTCTTTATTTTTCCACCAAAAAAATAATAATAAGTCAATTACTCTCACATATGATATCTATTTAAATAAACTTAAAAAATGTTTTGTATATATTATACATATGTATAGCGTATATAAATGTTAAACTGATTTTTACGTGAGTTTCAGTCATACATTCAATTATAAAATAACTTTTGCTTCCGTTAATGAAATATATTTATTTTTTTCACGCATTGATGAGTTTTTTTTTGAAAAATATTTTTATATACATTTTTTTGTCCAAAAAAATAATATCTTTTATTATATTCATTATTACATATATTTTTTTGTTTTGTTTAATTTCTAACAAAAGGATTATTTTTTAAACAGTCTCTCTCTCTCTCTCTCTCTCTCTCTCTCTCTCTCTCATTAACTATATTATTAATTTAATGAAAAATCCTTTTAAAAAAAATCTTTATAAATTAAAATTACATTTAAACAAAAAAATATTTTCACAAACAAAAAACACTTACACAATATACACAATACAAGTAAACTAAACTAAAAAAAATGCTTGAATTTAATGAATGACTCTTAAACAGTAGACTATTATAAAATTGTTTAGTATAACTTATATTCAATTAATATATATTGTATATATATATATAATTTTTAAAAATTATAATTATAATAATAATAATAATCGCTCAAACAATAGGATCTAACTAAATAAGGGTACATTATATAAATTATTACATTAATAGTATGCATAGATAAATTGCATTAGCAACCCATTGGCATAATTAATGTATTTATTAAATACAGTAATAATAATACAGTATTATTATTATACAGATTTTTAATTGACTAGTAATTTAATAGGTATTGTATTATATATATAGATATATACAACTGTTTGGATACAATAATAATAATAATAATAACATTAGTTTAGAAAAGTTTGATTGTGTTTTTTGTTTTGTTTTTTAACTTTTATTTTGTATGTACTATATTAATGAAGTGATTGGCAAAAAAAATGTGTGCATAACTTAATGTTTAATTGAGTAATAATAATAATAATAACATCATTAAGAAAACATGTTTTTAATAATCACTAAACATATAAGTTTTTTTTATATATATATAAAAAATAAATAAATATATAATTCATTATAATTATTGCTAAATAAAATTCTTTAATAATATTCACGTAGATTGAAATAATGATAATACAATATTTTTTTTTATTAATTGTAATATAATATAATATACAATAATATTAGTATTATGATATATTTAAAAAAAACTATCAATATGTCTAATGACTAATTAAGAGTATAATATTATTATTTTTAAAAAAATAATAATAATTGAGTACTAAGTTAGTGTAAAAAAATATGTACATGTACAATTTTTATAGGAAAAATAATAAAATTTAAAAATGTTAAAGATATTAAATAAATTTCAACTTTATATAGAAAATTTTTAAATAAATAAATAAGTTAGTTGTCAAAACTATTCAAACTAAAAATTTAAACATAATACTAATATTTATATTGTATCAAAAAAAATTTTTTTAAATATTTTATTATTACTTAATATAGCTGTGTATATAATTTATATAACAACTTTGTGAAACATGTATATGAATTAATCAAATACTGTATATCAAATAATTTGTTTTTTTTGTTTTTTATTGTTTATTAATATTAATCATATATATATTGTAATTATTATTATATGTATTAAATGAATGAATGAATGACTAATATATTTCAAATACAGTAGTGGTTTTTACATCAGTTATATTATTTAGTTGATATTGAAATTATAATTTTATTTAATAATGTATGGTATATGTAATTAAACATTATTATTTTTTTGGGATAATTTATTGGGAAGTTAATGTAAGTGATAATGAATTACAGTATTAAATAGTAATAGATTATTAGTAATTGATATACATATTAATATCAATATTTTTAGACTTGAAATTATTATTATTTATTAAATTATTATAATAAATATTAATTTATTAAAAATATTTTTATTTTTCTTATTTATTTAATCTTAATTATTGATATTACCACATAGCACATTAATGTGATGAATCATATTTTTTAAAAATTTTTTTATTAATTTATTAAACTATAGTTAAATAATAATAATAATCATTATCAATTTTATGTTTTTTTTGTTGTTGGTTATACGCTAAATAATTTTATAATTTGATAACCATTTATAATTACAATACAATCAATAAAATTGTGTTATATATATATATATTTATTTATTAGTGTGACTTCTATATTTACGGGGGTAGTAGCACCGGGACCTCTACTATATGACTACCGGTGCAACAACAACAACAACACTGATGATAATGATGATCTGTCCGGTAAAAGTACGGACCACTTGGTTCCAGTCGTATACCGTTCCCATCGAGTCGTTACGCGTTGAACACAATTGGCTAATCTGTCGCCAAATGATTGTCTTTGCCGGCAATATATTGAGCATATTTTACGGCCTAATGATACTGATTGTAGCCAAATGGCTGCACACCGAAGCACAGATGTCCACATCGTCGCCATTATCATTGTCGTCGTCGTCGTCATCATCATCATCATCGACGACAACGTCGACAGCAGGTGATGATACTCATTGGGATCAGTTGGCCAAAGATATTGACAGCTCGGCGAGTGTCGGCTATTGTATAATAATGTTGTCGACGTTTGCATGCATTTCGCTATTAATTAAAAGGTAATTAATTATTTTTTTATTTATTTAAATTATTAAATAATTGTTAAAAGTAATTGCAATTACAATGCAAGTAATTTATAATATTAATAGTGATATTTCTAAAAAAATTATATATATATATATTAATTATTACTTTTTTTAAAGTTATTTGTGTTATTTTTGATAGATATTTAATTAGTTATTTATTTCGACATTTAAAAATTGTTAAATATTTTTATCTAACAAAAACAATGCTATATAAGGAAATGCAAATTATTATTATTTATTTTTATTTATTTAAATTATAAGCGTTACTAATACAGTATAACCAAAATAGTGTTATATAATAATAATATTTAAATACAGTATTATTACAGTATATATACAATATATATATATATATATATATATATATATATATATAATAGATTTAAAATTAGTAAACTTGTAATTTTGCATAACCATTATGTCATTGAAAATTATAATACAATACTAACTAACAATAAAACTTTTTATTTTATATCTTTTAATATACAATACATATATACAGTTATACTATTATATACCAATAACTATAGTAAATCATATATTTGCGGAAAAGCCTTATAGAAAATAGACATCCAGCGGAAAGCCCTAAAAATTAATTTTTTAATGGACTAACCTTTTAATATCCCTTTTAAGATAAAATATAATAATTTGAAAACAAAATTATTATTATTATTATATAATGTATTTTACCGTATTTTTCAAACATTTTTTTATAGTAACTTTAGTGTATGTCTCGATTATATTAACGATTTGGAGGCCAAAACCTCCTGTGGTGCGACCAATAACAAGGAAAGACAACCTACCGGTGCCGGTACTACTACTACTACTGCTAATAATAAACACAAAAAGATAGTCAGCTCATCGCGGCATATATTGGTGTCGTCATCGCCGTCGGCAACATTTGTCGACACAGTTGTCGACTACACAAAGAAAAAGATGAAACTATTGCGCGACTGCCTGATGGTCAGCCCTATAATGACTGTAAACGTCATACTGATGATCAGTCTGATGCCGGCCGAGTTTTCGATAGCCAAAAACGGTTACTCMTATTGTTTTGCCAACTTTGCCAAAATCTGGTCCTATCGGCGCCGTAGCGACCATTTTGTACTGTTAATGGATCTCTGTCTGACCGTACTGTTCGTATCAATCATACTCATACAGGTCTGTATGATTGTCTATGTGGGCGATCTAATCAATTCGGCTATCGATAAGAAACAGGCGGCCCGTCGGCTGGAACGTCGGCTTCGTATGGGTGTCGGCGGCGCCGATTATGCCGATCGGCCGCAAAGTTTGATAGACGACTGGCATTCGAGGAATCGCCGACAAAATCTGCGGACACAGAGAAACAAGAATATACTGTTTCATAACTTTCTCCGACAACACAATAATAGTAACAATAATACTACCGGTGCTCTGAAAACACCGTCGTCGCCAACAACTAGTTTTAAGGAACCGATAGCTAGCTATGATAGACAGCGATCATTATCCAGATCGCCGACCATAGCCATAGCCAGAGCAGACATACACGAGAGCAGCTGCGGCGGCGGCGGCGGCGGCGGCGGCGGTAGTCAACTAAATATTAGTACAACTAGTCTGAGCTCATCCACAACCGGCCAGTCTGGCGGCGCCGGTGGCGGCTATAATAAGTGTAATATTTATGTTTAAAAAAATTTATGTTTAATTAAAAAATAATTTGGGCTTTCCTTTACAATTTTGATCTCAACAACAAAAATTTGTTACATTTTTATATAATTGTTATTTATATATATAATATATATATATAAACCGCTTAATATTTGCCAAAAAAAAATATTTACAAATTTTAATTAAATTATAGTTTAGTTTAAATTGTTTTATATAACTATTTGAGCTATACAAAAAAATGTGTTGTGTAAATTTAGTTTTGTTTTTAATTTAATTTGCATACAATAATATAATAATAATAGTAATAATGATGATAATGTTAAATAATAAAAAAAATTATAATATTACAGTAAATATTAATTTTTAGAAAAACAATAAAAAAAACTGAAAAATAAATTATCAATAAAAAATAATTTTTAAACAATTATAATAAACTTGTAATTAATTTGATTTAATTAAGATTTGATTTTTATAAATTTAATGGTTAAATATATCTAATTTATATATATATATATATATATWTATTTATAATTTGTTGATAAATTATAATAATGTATAATGTATTTATGAATGGTTCAAATTAAATTATTATTATTATAATAATAATATTGTATAATAAATATCAGTAAATATTAATGATATTTATAATGAGATTGTTTTATATATATATATATATATATATATATATATATATTTGTGAGACAATGATGTATATTATCATTATTATTATTATTATTTGTAATTAGAAGACTCAACGATTAAATTAACGTATTTGCACGCAAATAGCCTCTCCTCAAAAAATTAACATTTGGTTACCCCTCTAAATGGGGTAAAATGTGTATTCGTGGGGTTAGAAAACAATTGAGGGTGGGGTAGGTGGGTGGTTGAATGTAATGTTAATTACATAAATTCTACAAAACTTCAATAGTGGGTAATGATCAAATAAAACCAAATCATTTGGTATGGGGGTTGGGTTGGGTGGGCTGTAATAGACCCATAGTTTCACATTTAGCACCTGAGACTCATTGCGCTTACGTACGATAATTCATAATTAATTATTTGTTATACAGTATAATAATAATAATAATAATAAACAATAAAAATATAGTTTATATAAATTGCAAAATAATTATTATTTGCATCGATAAAAATTTTGTTTGTTTTTTTAAATAATAATTATTTTAACTAAAATTGTATAAATAACTACTGTTCCTCTTGCGGCTCCTCCTCTTCGATGATCTCATCGGTGGCCGCAATAACTTCCTGATCTTCTCCGATCTCGTCGTACACTTCTGTTTCCATTGCATGATTGGTCTGCATATGTCGGCGCAGATGATGTCCGCGAGTGAAGGCTTTCTCGCATCCGACCACTTCGCAGACAAATCGTTTTTCTCCCGTATGTGTTATACGATGGTTGGCCACATCGCACGCCCGAACCGATCGATACGAACAGTTGGGCCAATCGCAAGCATAGGGCTTCTCTTCCGTGTGAACCAACTTATGTCGTCTCAGATGCGAGTTCTGAGTATAACTACGGCTACAACCTATTGGGTGACAAATAAAAATAAATAAATCAAACAATATTATTGTGCTCTCTCTCTCTCTCTCTCTCTATGACATACCCGGCCAATCGCATATGAAAAACTTTTCGCCGGCGTGTACTCTCTTGTGTTCGTCTATTAAAATATAATAAATAAAATAATTACCAATTATTTTAAATTATGTTGGAAAACACTAATAGTATCGGTAATAACTCACCTAAATTGCCTTTAATAGCGAACCTCCACTCACATCCGGGCCAATCGCAAACATACGGTTTCTCACCTGTATGTGTCCTCATGTGAACCTTTACATTGTTTTTCTGCGAGAAACTCAGTGTACAACCCGGCCATTCACACGGGTAGGGCTTCTCACCCGTATGGGTACGCATATGAGTCTATTAGTATTGGTTAAAATTAACGATTAATAAAATTTCATCTATTATTAATTAATTTCCTACTTTAAGAGCTGATCCCTGAACGAAACTGTGTCCACAGTCGGGCCAATTACAGCGATAGGGTTTCTCACCCGTATGTGTGCGCTTGTGGTCCTTCAGATGAACCTAAATAGCAATTAAAAATAAAAATAACTTTCAATATTCAATATATATATATATATAAATCTATGTAAACTAACCGAATGTCTGGCCACGTATGTACATGACGGCCAATCGCACGGATATTTTCGGGTAACACCTGTTGGCTTACGTCCTCTCTTTTTTGAGAGATCTTCTTCCGGTACATTCGATATGATCTTTAAATTGTATTGATTTTGTTTTCCTCGACTACTTGCTGGTGGATGTCTTCGTCTCGCTGGCGGTCTTCGCTTATTTGTCGCTACTTTCACATCGTCCGTATCGTTAGCTTCTTCATCATTGTTTTCTTCATTAGTTGACTGTGTGTTTGTTGTGGTTGTCGTCGATCCGCTTCCAGAGAATCGTTTGGCAATCGACTGATCCTTATTATGTCTCAACAGATAGTGGTTCTTCACTTTGTCAATCGTATCGAACCGTCGATTACAGAACTTACACGTATACTGTGTGACCACTACTGCTTCGGCAATAATAATATCGTCGGCTTCGGTTAACTGATCATCAGTTTGTCCGTCCAATTGTGAGTTGTTGTCTTCATCTTCTACTTCTTCTTCATCCTCATCGACAGCTGCCGTCAACTCTTCCTTAACAACACTACCATTCAGTTCGTCATTGTTGTCAACCATCATCTCTTCGTCTTCTTCTCCGTCCTCTTCTTCTTCAACCACACCATTATTATCGTCCAATTCTTCCGTATCGACGCCATTCTCATCGTCGACAAAGTCATTGTCCTCATTGTCCAGTCCGTGTACGGCCACAATTGTTTCGTCCATTATTACCGATAAAAACTTAATTAAAAAAAAACTTTCAAAAACTTTTTTTATATTTTAGTCTTTCAATTGATATATCTTTTAGGATAAAAACCAAAGTCTGGTTGTAATTAATGTGAAGTCTTATAATAATAATAATAATATTAAATAATAACGTTTTAATACATAAACAGACTGTAAATAAATATTATATCCAAACAATAAAAATCCAAAAAATTTCAATGAAAACCATTTATATATAACATCTTTTTGATACAATGTGTCGCCACTGTGTAGTCAGTTATACAGCTTTATATTATTTGCAGTATATTATAATATATATATATATATATATATACAGTATATATACTATATATATATACATATATATTGAATATCAAAATACATACAACAATACTGTCTTGTATTTGATATGTCGGACACGTTTGGCGCACATATATATTGCTTGACACTGTACACACAATAACGTATTGCTTAATATATGTAAACAGTTTGGCCAATACATAGATTCACAGACAAACACACACACAACAGTATATATATACTGATAAGTAGGCGCTATATATATAAATACATTATATATGTTAAGCTCCGCCCATCTATTATATTAAAGAATTGTTTTGTGCGTCCAATCTATCCTTTTTGATAATATATTGTGAGCCCTTTTGAACACATTTTTATTTTGAAGCGATTTTTGTGTTGTTTTTTGTGTATTGAAAATCATTTTTATTTATTATAATAATACAAAATCTCAGTCTTCAGCGCCAATTGAATAGTTTCGGCGCCGAAAAAAAAAGTTAAAAAAAAAGTTTTGTTGTTTCACAAAAGTTATGGACGAAACGATTGTGGCCGTACACGGGTTGGCCAATACAGAGGAGGATGACGAAGACTTTGTAGACAATGGTGTCGATACGGAAGAATTGGACGATAATAATGGTGTGGTTGAAGATGGGGAGGAGGGAGAAGAAGATGAGGAAGAGATGATGGTTGACAACAATGACGAACTGAATGGTAGTGTTGTTAAGGAAGAGTTGACGGCAGCTGTCGATGAGGATGAAGAAGAAGTAGAAGATGAAGACAACAACTCACAATTGGACGGACAAACTGATGATCAGTTAACCGAAGCCGACGATATTATTATTGCCGAAGCAGTAGTGGTCACACAGTATACGTGTAAGTTCTGTAATCGACGGTTCGATACGATTGACAAAGTGAAGAACCACTATCTGTTGAGACATAATAAGGATCAGTCGATTGCCAAACGATTCTCTGGAAGCGGATCGACGACAACCACAACAAACACACAGTCAACTAATGAAGAAAACAATGATGAAGAAGCTAACGATACGGACGATGTGAAAGTAGCGACAAATAAGCGAAGACCGCCAGCGAGACGAAGACATCCGCCGGCAAGTAGTCGAGGGAAACAAAGTCAATACAATTTGAAGATCATATCGAATGTTGTCGAAGAAGATCCGTCAAAAAAGAGAGGACGTAAACCAACGGGTGTTACCCGAAAGTATCCGTGCGATTGGCCGTCGTGTACATACGTGGCCAGACATTCGGTTAGTTTACATAGATTTATATATATATATATATATATTGAATATTAAAAGTTATTTTTATATTTAATTGCTATTTAGGTTCACCTGAAGGATCACAAGCGCACACATACGGGTGAGAAACCCTATCGCTGTAATTGGCCCGACTGTGGACACAGTTTCGTTCAGGGATCAGCTCTTAAAGTAGGAATTTAATTAATAATAGATGAATTGTATACGAAATTTTAATAATCGTTAATTTTAACCAATACTTATAGACTCATATGCGTACCCATACGGGTGAGAAGCCCTACCCGTGTGAATGGCCGGGTTGTACACTGAGTTTCTCACAGAAAAACAATGTAAAGGTTCACATGAGGACACATACGGGTGAGAAACCGTATGTTTGCGATTGGCCCGGATGTGAGTGGAGGTTCGCTATTAAAGGCAATTTAGGTGAGTTATCGGTAATACTGTTTTACCGATACTGTTACCGATATTTTAAATTAAAAATTATTTGTAATTATTTAAAAAATATTTATAATATTTTAATAGACGAACACAAGAGAGTACACGCCGGCGAAAAGTTTTTCATATGCGATTGGCCGGGTATGTCATTGCTCAGGGCTCAGGGATATTGTTTGATTGCGATATTAATCTTCTTTTTTGTTTGTTTGTATTAATTACCAATAGGTTGTACCCGTAGTTACACTCAGAACTCGCATTTGAGACGACATAAGTTGGTTCACACGGAAGAGAAGCCCTATGCTTGCGATTGGCCCAACTGTTCCTATCGATCGGTTCGGGCGTGCGATGTGGCCAACCATCGTATAACACATACGGGAGAGAAACGATTTGTTTGCGAAGTGATCGGATGCGAGAAGGCTTTCACTCGCGGACATCATYTGCGCCGACATATGCAGACCAATCATACAATCGAAACAGAAGTGTACGACGAGATCGCCGATGACCAGGAAGTGATTGCGGCCACCGATGAGATCATCGAAGAGGAGGAGGAGCCGCAAGAGGAACAGTAGTTATTTATTTTTTTAATAATAATAAAAATAATTGAAAGTAATATTTTTTAGGATTTTTCTTTTTTCATTCATTGAAGTTATTTTTCAATATTTTTTATTTTAAATTTTTCGTATATTTTTTGTTTGTTTTTTTTTTAATTCTCTTAATATTTTTTTGCCAAAACAGAAACAAAAWTTTTTAATTATTATTATAGATATCATTAATATTTAGTGATATTTATTAGGTATCTATTATTTTTAATTTATTATTATTATATATAATTAATAATTCAAAAAAATAATGGTAATTTTATCATCGTCATTATTATTATTATTATTATTATTATTATTCATTATCAAATTGATTATATTTACAAATAAATCAATTATATACATATAAATTATATATCTGTTACATAAACAATACAACAAAAAATTAATTAAAATTATGTCATGTTTTGGGACACATTTGTATTTTTTATTCAGTTAACTAAAACCTTACGGTATATTATTATTATTAATAATAATATTAATTAATTGATTAATTAAAAAAAATGTTTTATCATTTAATTATTTTAAAAATTCTAAAATATTTTTTGTTTTTAAAAATATTTTATTATTGCAAAATAAAATACATTAAAATTATTCATAGTTATATGTTATATTTGGTAATTATTTTTAACATTTTAAATATTTTATTAAAATTTCATAGATTGCAAAATTACTAAATAATTTAAAAAAAAATCTATTTATTTATTTTATACTATTATAGACTAATAAATTAATGAAATGCATATTAAGTACACAAATTATATTGATTAGATTAATGTAATGTAATGTAAAGCAAATAATGTTATATTTTTATCATTTTTTTCGTATTTATTATCATATATTTTACATGAATATTATGCTAAAAAAACGCAATAATGTTTAATTGGATGCATTTATAGGAATATGTATATAACAAAAATTTGTTACATTAAGTAATTTATATAAAGTTAATATTTTACTGATTTTTTTGTTGTTGTTTTGTTATTTTATTTAATTTTTATTKAAAAAATATTTTCGTAATTTAAGGGTGTGTGCTAGTAGTGTTGCTAGATGATTTACCTGGGGGGGGGATATTAATTTTTAATTATGCAATATTTTATATATATATATATATACACTTATTTTGATTATTACTTAATTTACAAACTAACATTAGGTTAATTATTATCATCATTATTATTAACAATGTTATTTAAAATTTAAATGCTAATAATAATTATTATTATTATTAAACTGTATAATACTGTACAATCAATATTATTTCATTTTTTATATATATATAAATATTAAAGTTAAGTTAACATAATTATATAAATTATTCAAATATATAATAATAATTTAAAATAATAAGTTTATATTATATCAGATTACTATCTCTAAGTGGAGGACAGTGTTGTTGTTGTTGTTTGATTGAAACCTAAAAATCTTAGGACACTATCTGCTAGTTTTTGTTGTTGTTGAGGACGTCTAGTAACCTTCAAAGGGTATTCAAGTAGCGCACCGGGAGGTCGAGTGGGTGTGAGTTAGTACATCATACCATGGTATGTGTGTGTGTGTGTGTGTGTGTGTKTCTGTTATAACAATTTTTAAGTCACTGTCCTCTACTACCCCTCCAGTAGTATAGCTAACTTTGAAAGCGTACACGTCTTTGATTATTAATATGATTACTATTATTATTATTATTACTGAGACTAAAATTGCTAACATTATTATTATTATTATTATTGGTATGATTACTACTATTAAGATGATTATGACTATTAAACTGATTATTATGATTACTATTATTATTATTATTATAATTATTATTTAAGGCCAGCGTAGCGGTAATAGTATGGACGGCCGCTTTGAAACGGTTACGTTTTTTTGTACAAAAATACCAGAACCGCCGGAACAGTACCTCGAATATCTCGAACAGTGATAGAAACGAGAAGCCAACATACATACCCAATATGCCGCCCAGGGATGAAAACAGTTTAGCGGTAGTGTAGGCTTTTTCTTGGGTAACTTCCTGGACGGTCATTGTCTGAAAATAGACGGTAACTTTGGCCAGATTCTGGAAATTCACGTTCTGTTTGCCCCGATCGAAGGTTACACGATCCTCCCGAGTTGGCCACCGGGCCATCGATACTGTTTTGTCGTAGTTGACCACTTGGCATCGGGGCGGACACTGGCAATCGTTTACCTTGTCCTCGGCCCTGAACATTACCTCTTCGACACAGCTGCGGGTCACTCGCCGGCGAGTATCGCATATCTTTAGCGTCGAATTGAGCTCCAACTGTGGCAACATTGCCGACTGACAGTTACATCGGCGCTGGATTGTCCGCTGCAGACATATCTTCAGGCACGCTTGTTGCGAGTAGGTAGCGTTTTGTGTCAGTCGACCGACCAGTGCCGACGGCCACTGATTGATACAGGCCTCCGGATATGGTTTCGGCAAACGTGTAATGTTGATCATCTTGAGTCCGATATAGGTGGCCTGCTGGGGCGCCACAAATATMGCCTCGGATGCCGAATTGCCGAACTCATCGGGATGATGAACCATTACCAGTGCACCGATTTGTGCCGATCCGGGCAAGTATTCGCTAATCTCCAGATTGAGTACCAATTCCAGGCCGTAATTGACGCCAGCGATGGACGTCTCTTCTTGTTTATTATGCAAACGAACATTTCTGTGGTGATAGTTGTTGTTGTTGTTGTTGGACGCGGTCGACGACGACGACGGCGATGACTTATACGTATAACAGTTGCCTTCGGTGGGCGTAAAGATTGGCTCAAAACTGTTCGGATGGGTACAGTTGGTGGCCTTTATGGTACACCGGAGTATCATATCCTCGAACTGATGGGACAACTGTTTGGCCAACTTTTCGTTGCTATTGTATATGACGGCCAACCAATTGGTCAGATTTTCCTGGAGTTCCTTTTCTTCGCGTTCGGTCAGTTCGTATTCTTCCACTATCGGCGGCGGCGGCGGAGTTTGTGTTGTCGGGGGAGTCGTCGGCAATGGTACGGCAGTTGATGTCCACTTTCCACGGTTAGGCGTTGGCTTAGTATTGTTGATATTGTCAGTACTGTTATTATTATTATTATTATTATTGTCGGCATTGTTTTGTCCGGTCGGATGCGACGACTGTTTATTGTTTGTTTGTCGATTGCCGACGGTTCCCGTTTGTCGTCGATTTCGGCTCAACTCTTTGTCCATATCGTTGTCTAAGTCGTTGTTGTTGTTGTTGTTGTCATGGCCTCTATTATCAAAATCCAACGGTGGCGGCAAAGGTAGATCCAGTGGAGGAGGCGGTGGTGGCGGCAGCGGCGGCGGCGGTGTCGGCATTGGTGTTTGCGGTGGCTGTGTAGGCGCTGGAGTCGGTGGCGGTGATGTTTCGGCCACTTTTTTATTTCCGCCAATAGTGCCGTAGTTGTTGATGTCGTCCTCGAGATTTGGATTTTCCGGATCRCTGTCCGCCGGTCGCGGCTTTACAGTAGTGTCTTTGGGTTTCGGGTCAATCGGTTTCTGTAAATTTTTATTTATCGATATTTATTTATTTGTTTGTTTGGGTTTTTAATTATTAATTAGTTTTTATTTTGGTTTAAATTAATTTTTATAATTAATAGTAATATTAAAGATAWTTTTTWWAAATGTATATAAAAAAACTTTTTAATTAAAAYTAATTAATTATATAAACTATTTTCTRAGTTTGTAATTYAAGTAAATAGTATTATACAGTATATAGTTTTATATGATTTTTATTARTAGATWATTTTTTTAGTTACATAATTWTGTTRTGAAATTTTTTGAAAKTTAAAAATTAATATATATTTAAAAAAAATAATTAAGTAAACATAATTAGAAAATTTTATTTTAACATTAATAATATATAATTTATAACATAAATAGGTTTTTAGWTAAGTTTTTTTTAMAAAATTTAATAAAAATTAATTTMAATGTTTTTTTTAATCACAAATTTTRTTACATTAGTGTCTTTYATTACAATTATTTTTTAAAACCCCCAGTAAWTCAATAATCAATTTTTTAAAAAAAACTAATATATCTATCTTTATAAGTTTATAATAATTAATWAACGGTAACTTACGGGAGTAACTGGCCGCTCGACAATGGCCTGAAAGGCGCACAGTTTGTCCTTAAGATCGGGCGGTATCATCGACGCATTGATTACCGATACTGATGTATTGCATAGGGCCGAGTAGCGGACAATATTCAAATTGCAAACAGTTATGGCCGGAAATAATAGCCGCCGCGAATCGCGYAGTCGGACATCGACGGTAATCGGATAGACATAGTATTCGGAWACCAATTGCGATATGTCTTTCAGGGCCAGTACACCGAAAAACAGGAACGATATTAACCAGAAAATCTTRCGRATCAAACTACGGGTGCCGGCAATATCGCGKACGCCCGGYACCGATGATTCGGCAAACAGTTTGTTGAGATCATTGGGCGGTTCTTCRAATTTRATTTGACGACTATTCGGCCGACTGTTCCGACGCCGGTATCTGATGTTTGTGTTCCCATTAAGCGGATCKTCATTACCACTACCAGTAGTGCCGGCGGCACCGGTATCCGTATAACCACTGTTCAGCTGTTGCGGCTGCGGTTTATCAGTAATCCAGTTGTACTCCTGTTTGTATAGGCTTTCGTCAATCGGATTACCCGCTATTATCATCGGCTGATGRGCYGATGCCCGTGTGTTGTTGGCCGCTACCGTTGCTCTGGTTAGCACCCGGCGCGACATYAACTTGTTGGCCACATAGGATCTGATATGATGCGAGCGACCCGTGTTTACCGAAAAATCGCTGTCCATTGGCAACTCCATCATTAACATTGCCMGYTTTTTTTWARAAAAAAACMTATGCATCCCCGATTAAAAAAAACTATCAATATGGCACAGTTAGGTTTTTTTAGGTGTCGTTTCCAAAMAACAATTGCATGGCTCTAATACTCTTTTACAATTGATTGCTGATTGTTGTAATTGTTTGCTTTTATTTTGTWATAACAAAAAAAATTAGATCTCAAATATTATTAGCAATTTATATATATATATTGYTATTATTGGTGTATTGTTATTACTAATAACTTATTAGCATTTAATTAGTTAATACTCAAATACAATATTATATATATAACTTAAACAATATCTCATATCTCAATATTAATGTAATATATATATATATATATASTGTATATAYGGTATATCAATATATATATATTTGATATAATATTTAGATGTATATATCGTGCAATACTATTGATAYATAAATCTCTTGTGATTTGAATATATTATCATTATTTTTATTTTGTGCTATTGTTTTGACAGTAAAAAAAATATATTTATATTATATGATTGAGAAATTTTTCACTATTTTATTTTTATTAAGAAAATTATGGCAATTATCACAATAATACTATATKATATTAWATTCAMATTTATAAATGTTATTTTTTAAAAAGAAAATATTATTATATTSTAGTTTTTRACTTAAATTTTATATTATTAAAAATACTTGAATAAATTATTAATTATTTAGTCAAATAATTACAATTAGTAACAAATATAAATTAAAAACTCAAATTACTTTTAAAAACTTACAATTATTAAATCTATACTTTACTTAATTAAAAAATATGAATACTGTAGTATTAAATATATTAGTTAATTATAAATTAACAAATTGAAMAATTAAATTATAAATAAAAATAATAATATTACAATAATTGCCTATCCTGTTATCATATTATACTGTATAATATTTTTTTATATAATATCGTATATGTGTACTATATATATATATTTGATTAATCAATTAAATRAATACAAATTACTATATAATAGAAATAAAAAAAACAACAATTGATGGATAAATATGTAATATTATATAATATTAAAAAACTGTTRACTAAAAAAATTATTACATAAACTATTTCAAGGTTTAGGATCTACCAAATAGATATTAATTTTATCAAAAAATATTTTTTTTTGAAAATTAAAATCATAAAATCATATATTAATAGAAAACTTGATACGTGACTTCAATTAAATTAAAAAAAAAAAAWCTATTGAAACATATTTTTTATATATTAGTTATATAAATATATAATAGTTTAACWTTTATCAAAAAAATTATATTGTAAGTCAATATYGTTTAATTTTTCAATCTATCAAATCATTATTAATTGGCAAATATATTAATTAATAAAAACATTTATATATATATAATACATTTAAATAAATTATATATAGAATAAAACATTTTTATTTTAAAAAATTAAAATTCTGTTTTAAAAATTTTAAGGTTTAATAAAATTTTGGTCACGAATTTTTTGATCTTAAAAATATTGATAAATAAATAACTAAATAAATCACACTAATAAATGCAGTGATATTTCAACAACAAAAAAATAAATGAAATGATGTTATGATTAAATYTAATGATTTATTGGTCATAAAAAAAGTATCAATTTTTTTTGCTGAAAATAATTTTCAAAATAATTTGTAAGATTACATTATATATATACTGTATATATTTATAAAAAAATAATCTAAAATAAATGAAAATAAAAATTCATGTAAATATAATTTAATTTAAAATAAAATAATTAAATATATTTACGGAATAAAATTATTATTTAATTTATAATTTATATATAATTTATAAACTATTGCATAACTATTCTGTGGTACAGAATATATATATATATATTAAACAATTATTGCGACATCTATTGTATTACATTTTAATAATAATAATAATAATAATAATAATAAAATAAATATATTATATATACAGTAAATTATAATTAAATATTTTTAAAAATATATAAAATATATATATATATATTTAAATKTAAGCTATTATAATAATATTAAAAACTATAAATATAAAATTTGATCTGTTTATTTAAATTTAAGTATTTAAAAAAATATGCAAATTTCATTAATAAAAAATTATTTTCTCCAATTTTAACCAACAAAAAAATAGTAATTTAAATAAACTCATTGACAAATGTATGACATATATATGTTATATATATATATAATAAATATTATTAATTAAAAATATCAACAACAACAACAATAAAAAAATATATAAAAGTATATATTAACTATTAATTTAATGAACAAATTATATTTTATAGTAWATTACTTGTATTTGTATAGAAATTGTTAAAATAAAATTTATTWTTATTTTTTTTTTAAATTTATTTAATTTCAATTTAAAAATAGATATCAAATTACCAATTAAAAATTATAATGATTTACATTTTATATACTTTAAATATATTGATATATATATATATATATATATATATACTGAACAATATCAGTACAAAGTTGAAAATGTTTTTTAACAATTTAATGCTTAATCAGTCAATATTTGTGTCCCAGGATTTGGGTCATCAGGAAATGTGTATTTGGCTTCTGTATGTGTGTGTAGGCCTAACCTTGCATTTAAACTCCATAAGCGCTACTCTATTATATATATATACAGTATATATATATATACTGAATAGATATTCAAGTAATTCATTCACTTTACATACCCAGACACCCACACACAATAAAATTGGTTATTATTTATACTAAACAGTATTAATATTATTATTATTATTAAATATTAAAAGTATGATTAAGAAAAAAGTTATTTATGAAATAAAATAAAAATAATATTAAAAAAAATTTAATTCTAATATATAGGTTAAAGTAATTTAAATTATTAATTAATATTATAGCTTATGATGATTTATAAACTTTGATATATATATATATATCAAYTTTATATATCAATTGTGCAATATATTCTAAGTTAAAAAAATTTATACAAAAATTAAAATTATTAATAATAATAATATTATTATTATTGCATTTGTTATTGTAAATTAATACACATATGGCATATAGTTAGTAATTTATTTATTTATTTTATTTTTACTAATATAACCAAATGTATATTAATATCAAGTATAATAATAATAATAATAATAATTATATTGGTATATATATTGATTACCATAATTGATGAAATAAAAATAATTATAATAATAATAATCTAAATCAATTGATACTACATTATTATCTTACAATTTCCATTTAGACAAAAAAAATAATAATTGTCGACATTATATGGATAGTTGTGAATATAAAAATTAGTATTTCTCGATTTTAATGAGAAAAAAAATCTAATATATATAATAGTATATTATTTTATTGGATTTTTTGTTGTTGTAGTTGTTGTTGTTTTATCAATATATCTGAATCTGTATTTCATATCAAAAATCAAATCTCTGGACATCATTTCAATTACTTTGCTGGTCATCACTAGTTATAACCTCGATTTACAATGAAATCAATACATCAATCACTTGACTTATTATATACTATACTATACTATCACTTGATGTTATTGATTGCTATACTATTGTACTGTATATATATATATATATGATATCATTTTATATCACACAATATATATATATATATATATATATTTAAATCAAACAAAAAATTTAGGACACATTGATTTAATTTTTCTTATCGACCAATAGATATATATATATATATATATATATATATATATACCGTATATATATATATAAAAAAAACCTATTATAATAGTTATATACTACAGTACAGTATACTAGTATTTTTTATATTATATTATACAATATTTATATAAAAACTATACTAGTTTTTTGTTGTTGGTTATTATGGTATAATATATATAGTATATTACATATAAATTAATAATTATATTATACAGCAGTACGAGTATATTAGTTGTCAAATATTTTTATATGTATTTTTTGTTGTTGTTGTTAGTAGTAGTAGTATATAGCTATATGTCTATGTCCTTGACCTTGCTCAACAAAATAAAAAAAAATTATGCTTAATTTATGCAATATCATCCTAGTCAATCTTTTTTTTAAAAAAAATAAATGAAAATTTTTTTTATACTAGTATTTACAGAATATATATATATATAATATTTTATTTATCAATATTATTTGCAATTCAATGCTACTTTTTTTAATAAAAAAAAATATAAGTAATTAAATTATATATTTATATGTGTGCACACATTTTTTATTTTATTAGAATTGACTGAAAAAATAATATTATATTATAAATACATATATTAAATATATAAAACTAGAATTTTTTAATTAATTAAATAAATATTTGATAAATATTTTTGTGAAAAACAAATATTTTTTATTTTAATTAATATATATATATATATATATATAATGTAAGTCAAAGCATATGACAAATGGTATATATTTTTTTATAATTATAATTAATTTACTTTATTTTAAAAATTGATTAATTAATATATGACTACTTAATAAATGATATTTATTTGTTTATATATATTCTATAGAATATATATATATATATAAAACTTATTTTTTTAATTTCATTAATAAAACATAAATTTTATAGTTTTTATATAATACACATAAACTATATAATTTACAGTATATATATTAAATTTTATTATGATAATACATTAGAAACTAATTTTATATATTGGGATTATCTATTACACATGTATATAAAAATATTTATAAATACAATTGACTTATGATATTTAAATATATATATATATATGTACTATATATTTATAACAATAAACTTTTCTTAATATATGATTTATTAGTTTTATTTTTTGAGATTTAACAATAAGAAAACCTGTCTCTCAATAATATTAAGAGAGAAAGAGAGAGAGAGAGAGAGAGAGAGAAAGAGAAAAAAACTAACAAAATGCTAACCATTTCTATGGGATATTCAATACGTTTTTTTATTATAAATATTTTTTTTGTGGA